GGGAATGTGCTCCCAACATCCTTTTTTGCACCAGGGATAGATCCTAGTGCCACTGTCAGAGGTCCCTTAGTCTGCCCAGGCATTATGAGACCCACGTTTAGGGTTTCTGAGTTACTATAATGCTGGTTTCCCAGCTATTAGTCTGGGGGGTCCATGAGCTCCCACTTGTTCATGTCAGCTGTCTCTGTGGTTTTCTGTAGCTTGGTCTTGTCCCCATTTACTTATCATTCCTCACTCTCTGCAACTTGATTCTAGGAGTTCAGCTCAGTGTTTAGCTGTGGGTGTCTGCTTCTGTTTCCAACAGCTACGAGATGAGGGCTCTATGATGGCATATAAGTTACTTATCAATCTCATTATCAGGGAAGAGCATTCCACTGTTGCTCAGGTTGTTAGTTGGGGTCACCCTTGTAGGTCTCTGGCCATGTCTCTAGAGTCAGTTTTCTCTTCAAACCTATAATGGCTCCTTCTATTATGGTATCTCTTTTTTTTCCCTGCACTTGTCTATTCGTCCCGGACTCAATCTTCCTTGGTCCCACATGTTTTCCTCTCCTTCCCTCCTTTTTCTCTTAACTCCCTCTACAGTCATTGCCCCCCCACTCCCAATATACTCAGGACCTCTTGTTCCTTTCCCCTTCTGTTAGGGATCTTGTATGAATCTCTTAGGTTCCTCAAACAGGGTTTTTTTTTTTTTTTTTTTTTTTTTTTTATTGAGGCAACAAAAACAGGGTAGCTAAACTTACTTCAGAAAAGCTACAATTTAATAAAAAAAACCTGTCATTATATAACAAAGAAAAATATACTAGAGATACATTTATCCTACATCAAATGACCTAAATACATTAAGCAATATGGGCAACAATAAGAACAATAGTAATATAATTATAATTGAAGACTTATTATCTCACTTTCTGTAAACCTTGTCTAGACAAAATAGATAACCAGACAGATACAGAACATCCCACCTATGGGTGACAGACTGTATGTCTGATTCAAATGTGTAGAAAATATTTTATGGAATATACCATATACTGTGTCACCAAATGAGTGTTAGTAAAATTTAAGAAGGGCTGAAATAGCATTGTCTAATTAGAAAGGACTATGGGTTACCTCCCTCAGGATAATTTTTCTTCTAGTTCCATCAATTTGCCTGCAAATTTTGTGTTATTTTTTTTATCATCTGAATAATAAACCATTGTGTAAATGTACCACATTTTTTATCCATTTGGTTTAGAGATATCTAAGTTGTTTCCAGTTTCTGGCTATTACAAATAAAGCTACTATGAATATAATTGAGCCAATGTCCTTGTGGTTGGATGGAGCAGCCTTTGGGTATATGCTCACAAGGCACATTGCTGGGTCTTTAGAGCACTCTTGTAAAGGCATTTACCATCTTTAAGTACCAGACAAGTGCAAGTTTAGAGTCCATTTTCTATCCATTAGCTAATGTAAACTAAGGAATAGTAATAACATCAAATTTTTGTGAAGACACTGATAGGGAAGCTACTAAGATATTTGTGTGAATATAACCTGAAAAACTTTTAGTTCAGTATTTCATCTCATGTTTCATCCATTGTTAATGTTGCTTAGGTCTGTTGCTATGTTTGAGACTTTTAAAATGTTGATTTTTCTATTAAGGATATTGTGTTGTGCTGAAGTAGTTAAAATGGAAAAACAAATATGAACTGTTGATTTACTTTCTTTTTATTGTTAATTTACAGAGTATGTAACTTGATACTCTGTGAGTGCAGGAAAAATAGCTTTCACTGAAGCTTTTGTTTGGAAGATCTCTTTTGAGATCCTGATTCAACTTAGAATTTTTGTATTTAATATGTTTCCATCATTCACAGCTACTTTATCTTTGGAAACTTTTGTGTACTTTTGGCATAAATACATTGGTCTTTGAACATTTCCTCTTTATTAGAACAAAATGGCAAAATCTCATCTTATTCATTTCTTTTGTGAAATTTGGAGTTATCCACTTCCCTCAATGATTCCTGGTCCTGTTTGTGGGGGATAGTATTTAGACATTTGTGAGTAGTTTGTAGTTTTTATTCTAGATTATTTTCAAGGAAAATGGTATTATTTAATGTTAATTTAGTTTTATTATAATGTCAGTTAAATGTGAACAAAACCAGAGCAATATATAAATACAATCTCTCTCTCTCTCTCTCTCTCTCTCTCTCTCTCTCTCTCTCTCTCTCTCTGTGTGTGTGTGTGTGTGTATACAATTCAGAAAACAATCAAAAATTACCTCTGAAGTAACAGCATTAATTTAATATCGCATATTATATTTTTGATGAAGCTAAATTGTACCTCATACATGAATATGACTGCAGTGGCATATTGAATATGGCTTGCCCTTTTGTATGCTATGAGATGACTCACCCCACCTGTCACTCTAACTACCAAGATATTTGATTATGTATAGTACACCGAGTAGTACCATATAATTTACAAATGAAAACTGACTCTTGTTTCAAATCATCCAAGAACAATTGAAACACTATTATCTAGTGTCAACCTGTTTGTAAATATAAATATAAATATAAATGTTGACCGTGCATGACAATATATATTTGTAAAATGTTCTTCTAGGTGACCCAGAATATGCTTTTGGTATTATTCCATGGGAGTTGCCTAGGTTACAGGGAAAGCAAGAATAGGAATACAGTTCATACATGAGATTCAGTTTAAAGAGAATGTAGCTGATGACAAACTGTTACTGAAGAATCATTTAAGAAAAAAGAGACAGCAATATTGGTTTCTAAATGTACCATAGCAAACCACTATTAGTTAGTTAGCTGAGGTTACTGAGAAACTTGACTAATATTATTGTTCTTGTAGCTAGTATGATCCTGAAGAGGCTCTAAAATATCAACATATAAACAATATTTATTACTATTATTTTAAAACATAACAAAAGCCTGTATTTCATGTTTTTTCTTCCACATCAAGTAGCCAATTTCTTCCTTCAAATGAGTATATTTTATGTTTGATTTGATTCTATTTGCATTATTTCTATTTCATTAGATTGAGTTATAGGGATGAGAAATGAGTCAGAAGAGAATTACAACGGGCTCACTTGCTGAAAGCTTCAAGTGAAGTAATAATGGAGTTTCGATACTCAATTCTAGACATTCTTCTGGCTTGGAAACTTGGTATTTTGAGTGTTAATGACTAAACAGACACAAAAGAATTGCTTATCATAGTTTTGCAGTAATGTAAATAAGAAGGGATGTGAATCTCAACAAAGGATGATAGACTGGCCAAAGTTTGGGGAATTCTACAGATGTTAAAGAGACAGAATTCTCATGACATTTTGATTGATATTTAAGGAAAAAAGAGCAAGGATGTACCACAGTGCTGCCATTCATGAAATGGAATCTTTCTCTTTCCACACACACACACACACACACACACACACACACACACACACACACACACACCCCAAATCAACCAAGCACACAAAACACTTCTTTTTAAAGTTTTTTCTAAGTTTTCAGTTGGAATTGTCACAGTAAAAGACCAGTAAGCAGTATTTGACATATTTTCAAGTACAGAACTATGTCACCATATACACTCATTAAAACACATTTCTTCATCTAGGAAAGAAAATAGAAGTGTAAAGAAATGACAGCTAAAAGTATGAAAAAAAAAAAAACCATGGCCCACAAGCCAAATCTGGACATATATATTTGAAAGGAGATTTATATTTTAAATGGTTAAAGAAATATCCAAAACATGATTTCAAAACACAATGAATGGAATAGAATTCAAATGTCAATATATATAAATTTCTAATAGAAAACAACCTTGCTCACTGTGTACAAATTATGGCAGCTTTGGGCTGCAATAGGAGAGTTGAATAGTTGTGATACAGACTTTGCAGCCCTCAGAAATATTTCCTTGGTTTGTATACATAGTTCAGAAGTAGAGTGCTTGCTTAGATTGTGTGAGGTATTGGGTTTCATCCCCAGCACCACGGAGAAATATTTATTAGTATTTATTTTCAAAACTAAAATATCTATTACCTGGTACCTTTCGGGGAAAGACTATTGCTTTCTGGTCAGTTGGTAGAGTGTCATATCTTTCTAGACATCTAAAAAAATCTCTAGAGGTATAACATCTTTTGTTTTTAAATATTCAGATTATTTTCTCAATAGTGAGTTACTCTTTCCCCCTCCACAAAGGACATGTCTTCTCCCTGTTTAAATAGTATTATAGATTCTGAATGAATATATAATTAAGGGTTAAATCTCAGAATGTAAGGCGTATTAAAAGTACAACCTGGTTCATATCTCCTTTTCCTGTCTCATTTCATCACCTTTTCTGGCACACCCGTCGAATTTTCCACTTTTCTACAGACAGAAGCTAAAAGTGTCACAGTCGGAAATTACTTAGGGTTCATTTCATTTAGTTCTCTTGTCTATCTTTTTCTTCTATTTTTAAAACTGCATTTTTAATTTTAATTGATTTTTTTTTTTACTTCTTCGAATTATCTCCATTTATAAAAGGGATAGAGTGGGGAATGGAGGGGACCTGCAAAACATATATAGCCTTTATTTGTGGAGAGTCAATATCTAATTTGTCAGGTCCTCCAGGGTAACACACACACACACACACACACACACACACACACACACACACACACACACACATTCAGGTCCTCCAGGGTAACACACACACACACACACACACACACACACACACATTTTTAAATGGCAAGCAACATCTATTGTATGTTGAGCGAGTGGGTCATTCTGCTTTTCCCTCCTTCTCTTCATGTCATTTGGGAAACCTAGAAAACAAAAATCTTCCCACGGAAACTCCTCAGGGACGTCCCAAGATGCGAGCTTGCGCATTCGCACTCCTCCACCGGCAGCGCAGCCTTTGCTGCTAGTCCGCGGGGTCTCTGAGCACAAGCCCAGCGCGGGATCCACGGTCGGCGCCGCGGCGCGCGCGCGCGTGCGCGCCCTCCCCCTTTGGCCCCCTACCCTGCAGCAAGGGTTGCGTGACGTAATGCAACCTCAGCATGTAGGAGCGCTATAAAGCGGGACAAGGCGGCGCGCCTCCCAGTCGCAGAGTAGCTTGTGATTGGCTCGGGCTGCGGAACCTCGGAAACCCGAAAGCTAGGACCTTCCAGGTCCGTGGCTGCCGCCCCCCGCGGCACTTGAGAGCGCGGCCTCAGTCTGTCTGGCGGCGGGGAAGGCGGTGGCGGTGGCGGCCCGCGGCGGCGGTGACAGGTAAGGGGACTCCCGAGGAGAAACTCGGGAGCGCCAGCTCTGCCACGCTCAGCGTGTCTCGGTGAGGGGAGAGGCTCCCACCCAGCGTCTCGGGGAGGGCGAAAGGAACAATGGAAGTGGCGTCTAGTCCCCGAGCTTTTACCTCAGCCACCCGAGTCCCGGCTTCCTCCACCGCCGCCATCCGAGGCCAGGAAACGGAGGCAAGAGGGTCCCCTCCTCAGCCAGCCCCCTCCTCTCCTAGGCCGGAGTCCCCCCCTCCCCGGGGGGAGCTAAAGCCGTCGTTTCGGCCGTCGGTGCTTTAGGGTGACAGGAAAATGGCGGAAAACAAAACGGTGGAGAGTGTGGCGTCCTCTTGGCATTTTCTCTCAGCGACCCCCCTCCACGAGCCTCTCGCCCGCGCCCCGCGTCGCTGCGCTCGCTCGCTCGCTCGCCCGCCCGCCCGCCCGCAGCAGCGGCTGACCTGAGCCCACAGCACGGCACGGCACGCCTGAGGGCTAGCGGGCTTCAGCCAGTCAGGCGGCCCGGGGCCGGGCGTGGGAGGGAGCGACGATCCGGAGCCGTCAGAGCCGGTCTGTGTGTGGGGGGGGGGGGGCGGGTGCCGTGTGCGGCAGCCGTCGCCTGGGCTCCAACACCACCATTTTGCTTGGCGGCGGACTCCCACGTACGGCGGGGCTGCTGGAGCGAGGGGCGGCGAGCAGCTGGGCGGCGCGGGGTGGGGGCAGCGCCAGTGACCGCTGCGCCGCGGGAGAGCAGGGAGGGCGCCGCGGGGGACTCCTCCTTGGTCGGGTCTCGCCTTTCCGCGACGAAGGCTCTCTTGTTCTCGTTCCCTTGAACATCAGTTCGCCTGGGCGACATCGGAGAGGGCACGTGTGTGCGTTCGGCTGGAAATGATTGAAACTTGGCACGGTCGTGGGAAAGGGAGACTTCTGCGGGAAGAGTGCTGCGTCCAAAGCTGCAATATTGCTACTTGCCAGGGCTCCTTTGTCTATCTCTGCGAATACTACTTTCCCATTCTCTTGCTCAGCCGCCTTACCATTTCTCTTCTGTCCCTCGCCCTGTTGACATCACAGAGAAGCCTGCCCCTGAACGAGCTGTTTAGAAGAGAAAGATGAGAGTAAAATCTGATTTTTGGGTTTTCTGTTTACCGTGCATCGATAGAAGGATGTGTACTTGAGGCATAGTTGCTTGGTTTATCTTGGCTCCATAAGCGTGTGTGGTAGACTCTTGTGAAGACTGAGCTTAGCTACCTATCGGTTATTAAATTCCATACTGCTGTCCCCTTACATTATTTATTGATCTATTGAAACTTTATATATCCGAAGAAGTATTGCACTTTATGTCTTTGCTGTCTATACAGTGTGGTACTTCCATAATATTTGCCCTGTATGTGGCAATTTTCACACTTCATTGAGTGCTAGAGTAGATTTTTCTGTATGGATTTGGCAAAGATACACCTTGTCCATGGTTGTTCTTTACTGTCCAAATGAAGGTGTTTTAAGTATATGATTTAAAGAAGATTTGACTTAAGCAGTTTAATTCTAAATGTAATATTGAGTAATCTTTTTTGGGGGGAGGGGTCCTGGTGGTGGCATCCCTCTGACTGCTTTTTAGAGAAACACAGCTTTGAGCATGTGAGCTTTCAAAACCTCACCTTACAAGTTGAAGAGTAGAGAACATTCCTAAGTTGTGTAAGAGATTTGATTAAAAATGCTTTTAAGTATGTAACTTGTATTTTCATAATAGATAAAAAGACATTTTCCCAAAGGAAATGCATTGTGTTGAAGGAAAAATTAAAAAGAAATTTTTCAAAATTCACTTTACAATTAGTAAGGAAATCTACAGTTTCTTCAACCAAATTATGTAAAGGTGATTAACAAATTACTTATTCTTTATTAATTATACAAAATTTAAACTATAGAATGACTTTTGTAACGGTAATAGTTATCTGATAAAGAAAGCAAATGTTAAAATGGAAGTTCACATAGTATATTTTTTAACTGTCAAAATAAATCCTTATGGCATTTTTACTTAAATGTATGTTATTACAGATAATTGATGGTGGTGAACTCCATTGGCCCTTTGTCCTTATCTTGGATGACAGCAAAACAAAACATACTAATTTGAAAGAAAGGCAAAATATACCTAAGAAGTCCTCCCAGATATCTAATTTTGTTCCAGCATAATTTACCTAATTATTTTGGTACATAGAAATAATTATCCACTGATATAGAATATTTTTGTGTACAAAGTGTACAACTCAAGTGTTTAAATAGGAGTTAGTCTTCAATATTCTTCTGCCTGTGGGGTAGCTATAGAGCATTACAGAAGGTGGGGCTTAGGCATGGTTCTAAAATTTTCATTAAGGACATAACCCTTGTGTGTTGTGGTTCAATTTAACAAACACTTCTGAGTGAAAATAACTTAAATACTTTTTATAATTTGCACAATTTTGGTTGTTTGGTTAGAATCTTTTGTTGCTGGAGCAATGCACATAGGCAATTATAAGTAATATATTGAGTGACAACATCTGACTTTCTGTTCCATAGTGTCTGATTGTCTTAATATAGGAAATGAAAAAGGTTGAACTATTGCTTTAAAAACTTCCCCAGAATAGCTTGGTGTTATTAATCATTACTGGAAAATATCAGTTGTACAGTTGCAAGCAAATGATATGCAGAAAGAAACAATGCTAAATGTTTGTGTGTGGTTGGTCTTATCGTTACCATATTTAGAAAGGAGTCATGTTTCATGATTTCCTCAAAACTGTGAGACAAGAGAATGTAGCAGAATAAGGCCAGAAGTCCTTACTGGTTAAAAGAACTCCAGGGAAACTTGTGATAGAACATTTTGCATTATAAGTAGAGCCCCAGGAGCCAGAGGTGAACACAATATCTGCAGAGCTCACTGCAGGACTGATCTGGGTCTGGAAGAAATGGATGAAAGCTACTGGATGAAAGTCACTAATACTAGACATCTGAGTTCTCTAGTAATGTGTAAACATCCAAACTATTAATCTGTCATCATTCATTTTATTTATTACACATATTTTAACTGGACCTCAGTCTTCCAGTTTTGTTCTTTTGCTTTTTATCATGTTCTGATGGCTTACCACCATAACTGTGCCTCATTTTCTGTATTTTGGCTTTACTTCCACCTGCCTCTTTTATGTATGGCTCTCACATACAGCATCTAAGCAGTTTTGGGTTTTCTTTTCTTTTGTAATGAGTTATGCATACTGGTTGTAAGGCATATTTTCTGTTGTGTTTCTCTCAAAATGACTGATTTGGAGATAAATGTTTTAAAACCCCTTTTCAAACCATTTATTTTACAGGTATTTGTGAATGAACTTTGCTAAGGATGGATTCAGGTGGTGGAAGTCTTGGATTGCACACTTCAGATGCTAGAATGGCCCATACCATGATTATGCAGGATTTTGGTAAAGCATTTTCTTTGTTGTATTTTATGATTGTAAAGTAGAATATATTAAAAATTAACAAGGAAGTAGAATTACACTGAAATGATTCCTTTACTGGAAAAATTAAATTGTACAGCTTATTTTCTTAAAGGCAAATATAAACAGTATATTTAAGATCATATAGTTTGTAAGAAATTTGAAATAAACTTGAGATGTAAAGATAATATTTTGCTAGAAATGAAAAACTCACTATGCATACTGCTTAATTGCATCATATTGTGATCGTATATATTAGTTTTCAGATGGAGAAAATGTTAAAACACCTGTCTAAAATACATTTTAAGTTGCATTGTTCTTAAAGCTGGAAAGGGAGCTGCTTCTATCAATACAAAAGGTTAAGATAATTACAAAGAGATAAAGGTAAATCATATATTTGGGAATTATGTTCAGATATCATTCCCTCAAGGTTATTGCCAATAAAATACACTTCTTTTTTAAAAAGATTTGCGTGTGTGTATGTGCACATATGCCCACGCACAAGTGTCTGTGCATGTGCACACGTGTGTAGGCACCCACAGGCCCCAAAAGCAGGCATTGGATCTCTTGCTGCCATAGTTATGGGTGGCTTGGAGCTGTCTGACATGGGTGCTTGGAACTGAACTCAGGTCCGCTAAGAGGGCAGCAAGCACTCTTAACTACTGAGCAATTTTTAGAGCCCACCACCTTTTCCCTTTTTGTCCTAATAAATGAATTCTTAGTTCTATATCCATTTTTTTCAGTAGCCTTAAAGCAGTAATTATTTTGATAAATATGTTAAGAATACATTTATTTTCTAGAAAGAAACTAAATTTTGGGAAGGTTGGTCTGACTTTTAGAAGAGATGGTGCTATCTAAATTAAAAGAAGCAAGGGTGGGCTCTTAGATTTGAAGGTTCAATAGGAATAAAAGTAGAAAACAGAAATGATAAATGGTTGTAAGAAAGACACGGGACCCATAGGGTCATGTGTACTTGACAAAGCTGAAATCTGTGATGGAGACTACAAATAGCGATATTTTGCTTCACCAAAAAATGGTACTATTCTAAGCATGGTTTAATATGCCATTTGCTGCCCCATTTTAAAGTCCATAGTAATAAAAATTAGAGGAACTATATTCTAGTCTTGACAATGATGCTACTAGGTTATAAACTTGGCTGATCCACTTTTTAAATGATATTGAGGTTCTCTTGAGTTCTGTGATTCTTTGACATTTTTTTGAAAATTACACCTGGGTCCCTCAAGGTTGAATTTAGTAAGGATTGAAATTATTGTTAAAGTGATATATAAAGGAGTCATGGATTTATTCTCCTAAAAGATGAGTGAGCTTTGTTATTTATTGATGATTTAGAAATGATTTGGGGTTGGTAAGAAAGTACAAGAATTGTGATAGTAAATCTTGGTTGGCAACTTGATTGGTTTGAGAGGATTTTAAAGTTATTAAAAGCACATGATTGGGTGTGTCTCTTAGGGTGTTTTTGGTAAAGGATTCAGTAGGAGGAAAGATTCACCTGACACAATGGGTATCACCATCTAACAGACTAGGGGCCTAGAGGCAATAAAATAGGAAGACTGTAGAATGCTTGCAACCACAGGCATAGTCTCTTTCTGTTAACCTTTCTTCATGAGGTTAGCTGATTTTTCTCTACTACATACTCCCTGACATGACATTCAGCTTCTCTCTCTTCATTCCCATACCAATGAAAACAGGCTGAAATCTCTGAAACTGTGAGCCAAAAATGAGACTTCTTAATTTTCCTCTCATGTTTAAATCACAGTAATGAAAAAAGTGACATAGGAAGAACTATAAATGAAAGGGAACAAAGTTAATGATAGAGAGATTTTATTTTTTGTCCTTAAAATTCTTGGCTGGGGAGTTTATAAGCTTTAAAAATGCTAAAACCACTTATATTTGAATTTAGGCTGTAGACTAGAGGGATTCTTTAATTTCAATATACTAAACAAATTTTCATTTTAAATGTTAGCTTTGTAACCTAAGCATCTTGAGGTTTTTCTATTTGTGATATTTTATTCACTTTTAGTTGCTTTGGAAATAGGAGCTACATATTGAATTACTTTTATACAAATATTATTTTATTTTTCATTAAGATGTAATTCATATGTCATACTATTTACTCGTTTTACGATTAGTTTTAAAGTAATTATTTTTACTTGTATGTATATGTGTGTATGCACATATGCTACATGTATGCTGGTCCTGTGAAAATGAGAATAGAGTATGAGATCCCTTGGAGCTGGTGTTAACAGGCAGTTATATGCCACCTACAGTGGGTGCTGGGACTGAACTCAGGCCCCAAGGAAGAGCAGCAGGCATTCTTAACTGCTGAACTATCTCTTCAGACCCTATTTTAAAGTTTATAATTCCATGTTTTAGTACAATTAGGGAATTATACAGTGGTCATTGATCCGATTTTCAGACATTTGTTATTCTACAATTATAATCTCAAAATTTTAAATACATATAAAAATGAAATAAAATACCTTATACTTAGTATCAGTTAGTGCCTATCCTTTCTCCACCAGTTTCTAACAACCAGTAATTCAACTTACAGATTCAGCTAATCTGAAAAATTTGTATAAATACAGTCATATAATATATGGCCTTTCATGCATGGCTTCTTTTACTTTAACTCATTTTCATGTGTTATTTATGTTACTGTACATATTAACACATACTCCTCTTTCATTAACAAATTATAGGTGATCACATTATGGCTGAAAGAAACAGTTTTGATTTGGTATGTTTTATGTTGTTTAAGGAAGGAGTAAGAAGATGGGAAAGTTTAAAAACTACTTTTTAATTTTTGTTGTCATTGTTATAATTATTGAGGGCTTCTCTAAAATGAACTAATGAAGTAAATATTTTTATGTAAGAAAAAAAGTAGAGAGCTACTGTTTTTTGTTATATATCTATTCATGATTCAATTGGTTAGTCCTAAAATATATTAGGCTTCCATTTCTCCTTAGTAATACATTTTGAAATTTTTGAAGTTATACAACCATGTAAATTAACACCATGTAACCAGGTCTCCAAATCTGTAAGGTTCTCATTTTATAAGATCAATGTTGTATAGAAAATTGGCAGAACTAATTTATAAGTAATTAGATCAATTTGTTCTGAAAGATGGTTAAGATTTAAAATTTTACAATATCGTCTCATATATTTTTGCTGATATTTGAGTACAGTGATTTTCCTTACAGTCAGTGGTATTGAGTTTAATAGTTGTTTTAAGATTTTAATATTGCAAAGATAAGTATTGCTTTGAAACTTAGTAGCAAAATGGCCTTAGATACTAGTAGAAGACAGATTGTTAAGAAAGAATTAGTTTTGCTGTCACTCTAGTGGAGTGCCAGGTAACCTTTGAACAAATTCTTATAAACTGGAAAATACTTCCTCAGAATTTACTATTTATTGTTACATGTTTATCATTGGCTCACATTTTAGAGATGATTGCTAATCATTTGTAATTTTTAAACTAAGATAAATTCCTCATGCCATTGGGTTCTCCTTAATAAATTTTAAAAAAATATTTAAATGAGTTTCTATATGATAGCTCTTTTAATACTTCTCGAAATATTACTGTAGTAATGCCATGTTTGCTTGATTTTACAAGTATCTCTTTTAAAACTTATCTAGGATAAGAAACAAAACTTTTCCTTCTAGGAGAGTAGAAGCAGCAGCAGCAGGAAAAGAAGAAGAAAATAATACTATAACCTTGAGTCAAAGAATGAATATAGTAACCTTTTAAAATATAGTTAAAATATATTTTTGGGATGTGGTTCAGTGGGTGAAGTACTTGCCATGAAAGCCTAACAACAACCTGTCTTCTGTCTTCAGTTCTTGGTTAAACGAGAGAACCACTTCATAAAGTTGTCCTCTGAGGTCCTACCCATATTTTATATGAACATAAATAATAACAATTTTTAAAGGAAACATGTATTTTGTTCATATATAAAATGGAGATAACACACTTACTTTGAGAATTAAATATGATTATATGTATATTGTGTATATTCTGTCTCTCACACACGTAGTATAAGGCTGCTTGATGCGTTATTAGTGCATAATAAATATTACTTATGTGTATCTGAATAAATAGCATTTTAAAAGAAGTACCGCTCATGTATAGCTGAATAAATGAATTTGTTTTTAAATTTAATGAAATGAAACAGATGAACTGATATAAGAAAGCAAAGTTATGGACCATTTTTGGTCTGAGTAATTTTGACATTATTTTGCTGTAATCATTAGTTCTTGGTATAAGTTTTTAAAGGTCATTTGGTTCAGGTTAAAGAAATATAATCAGGATGAAGAAGTATATTTGGATTCATTTTGGTTTAGGTTTGATTGATTTTGACCTACTCTGGTCTAGGCGAACTTGGAGTAATTTCTTACATTTTCTTAGAATCAGCCGAGCTAGGTTAATCTGAGCATAGGACAGCACTAGCATTATTCTGTCCTTCCATCTTTCCCCACTATCTAATCATAAACCAAAGTAATCTTAATTAATACTCTGAAATAATTAGGAATTACTGAATAGTAAATTACTGATTTCTGAAAACATTTTTATGAAATAGTAATCTTAGCATTTACATATAGAGAACCACATTTTTATGAATTTAATAGGTTTAATATTTAATTTTCTTTACTAAAGCTATCATTTCCAGTCTGTATAAATGCAGGATTTGAAACCCTAGTCTGTCTTCATCTATTAATTTCTGGAGTAATAAATGACAAAAAGTAGTTTTTAAATACATATTCTCATTGTCTATCATTTTTGTAGGGTTGTGGTTATGCTTTTCTTCTCTTATTTTTAAATTATAATTATTTTATTTCTCCCTTTTCTTTCCTTGCTCCAAACCCTCTCCTACATCCCTTCTTGCTCTCTTTCAAATTCATGTCCTATTTTTTCTTTGACGTATATTCATAAATATTTTTCATACATGTATATTACTAATTTATAGCCTGCTCAGTGTATATAATGTTACTTGTGTATATATTTTCAGGACTGATTGTTTGGTATTTGATAACCAATTGGTGTTCTCTTCCCTAAGGTGTACTACTTCTCCCACCCTGAACATTCCATAGTTACAGGTAGCTCCTTGTGTAGGGTTGAAGGCCTTCTGTTTATTTTGGCATGTCTCTTGTTATGTTCTTTTGATGTAATTTAAGATTTAGGTGAAAATTGAAGAATGTAGAGAAGGATTTAGAATAGCTAAAAGGGAGAATGGTTGTGTTGGCATGTGCTTGTAATTCCAGATCTCCTTAGGCAGAGTCAGGTCAGTCATGAGTTCCAGGTCACCCTTGTCTACATAGCCAGTTTGAGGACAGCTTGAATTGTGTGAGGTTTCAAAATCAGTACAATAATAAGACCTTTGTTGAAAAATCAGCTTTCTTTTCATTCTTAGCTTTTTCTCATTTATGGTAGAAACTGGTTTTCCATATTTAACTAACATGCTGATGAATTGGTTATAGTAAGCATTGTATATCTCTAGTGGTGTCTCACTTTACATTCTTTCAGATAGTACTTTATAAGAAAAGTGATAATTATGTTAAAAAGACTAAGTACTGAGTCATTTCTTATAGATGATGCATTATAAGTAGACCCACAAACTCTTAATTAATTTACTGTACCACCTCAGTGTGGCAGAACTTAAAATTCCTCATGAAGAGAGTTTATTTCTCTTATAGTATTTACAATGGAAGTGGGATTTGATGCTTACTATGCTTCTCAAGAGAAAAATTAAAGTTTTCTCTCTGGTGCAAGCTTACTAATATTATCAAGCTAAATCTTAGTCTAGTATGAGTTAAGATTTTTTTTCTCCTAAATCAAGTGTTAAAAGATTCTAAGGTTTTTGATACAGTGATTTCTTTAAGTTAAAGAATTTCATGGGGCTTCTATGGTTATGTTTTATAGTAGAATGTTGTGTTCGCTGATAACAGTGTCCCTTTGTGTTTCTCATTTTGCTTTCAGTGTTTCAAAAACTATATGGTCATGGAAAGTAGGAAAAATTAGTATAGTGAGGTCTTACATGCTTTTTATTAATTTTCCCCCAATGCTGGTATCCTGTTTAACAGTAGTACAATACCAAATCTTAAAAATCAAAGTTTTGGCAATCCCTGTTATCTAAAACTATATACCTTGTTCTTTTCCTATTGTTTGGACATATTTGTTCATGGATTTTTAATTTTTTTTTTACTTTTACCTTTTTTATAAAGTTTCACATGTGTCCTTTGCATTCTGACTACACTCACCTCCCACTTCCTACCACCCCTGTTCACTCTTCACCCCCACCTACTTTATTTCTCATGTTTATGTCTACTCATTTCACTTTGTGCCCCACCAAGATTATCCAGGGCCATTGTGTGATGAGGTATAGAGGTATCCTTTGTAGCATTGTGGTCTCAGCAGAGGTTGTACAAATAAGTATAGTGATTTCCTTCTCTCCCATATAGCTAATAGTTCACAGGTGAAGGATAGATCCCCTTTACCCTCTTTCCTTTCTGTGACTGATTGTTTTTAGGGTTGGTCTTATGGGGGTCAAATGTGGGTAACTATAGTTATGTGAGTTAAGGATAATAGTCTAGGGAATGCAATTTGTAATTCTTCACCTTATCTTTAAGTTCTTACATACATCTTTAACTCTCCTACCCCCTCTTTAATGTTCCCTTATTTGAAGGGGTGATTTAAGTAAATTGCTTAAGGATGAATCCACATCTGTCATTTATTTTCTTCATCTTAAATACAGGTCTAAGTCAGGATACGTTTCAGGAGATTTTTTTCTGGTTGTTGGTTGTGCTCTATTCCTCTTTATGACTAAGTATTATTCAGTGATAAGGATGTGTCAGGGTGCATGCATTTAACCAATCATTTATCTGCTGATGGATTGATATTTGAATAGTGTTAATTTTTTACTATTATGAGGAATAGCTGCTATGAATTATTATGAACATTTAAGTATAGTTTCTGTGTAAACATGTTTTACATTTTCTGGGGCAAAATATTTTAGAATGCAGTTGCTGCTTGTATATAAAATGAATGTTTAGTTTTGTCAGAAACTGCCAAACTATTTTTCTGAATAGCTGTGAATATTTTAATTTCCCAAAACATATAAAAAATAAATTTCTTTGTTTTATTTTAGATTTCTTTGTTTTTTTCTTATTTTAGTTGTGTTAATTATAGTATGGTGATGTCTTAGTATGACTTTTTTTGCTTTTAAATGACAACAAATTACTTTTAAGAGCATAACTTATGTTTTTTGGGCATTTTTACACTGATCTCTAACCTAAATTCCTAATTAGTGATTTTTTAAAATTAGTTAAATTATCAACAATTCTTTTTAAATTATATATACATATATGTGTGTATCAATACATTTAGTACATATTTTAACAATTTTATAGTATGTGTTAAATATATTTTATTAATAGAATAACTTTACCCTTTTTTGAATAATTGTTTGTATTGTAGTGGCTGGAATGGCTGGTACTGCACATATCGATGGAGACCATATTGTTGTTTCAGTTCCTGAAGCTGTATTAGTTTCTGATGTTGTCACAGATGATGGAATAACTCTTGATCATGGCCTTGCAGCTGAAGTTGTCCATGGGCCTGATATTATTACAGAGACTGACGTAGTAACAGAAGGTGTGATTGTCCCTGAAGCTGTACTTGAAGCTGATGTTGCCATTGAAGAAGATTTAGAGGAAGATGATGGCGATCATATCTTGACTTCCGAACTAATTACAGAAACCGTTAGAGTACCAGAGCAAGTTTTTGTGGCTGATCTTGTTAGTGGTCCTGATGGGCATTTGGGACATGTGGTGCAAGATTGTGTTTCAGGCGTTGACTCTCCCACTATGGTATCAGAAGAAGTTCTTGTAACCAACTCAGATACAGAAACTGTGATTCAAGCAGCTGGGGGTGTTCCTGGTTCTACTGTTACAATAAAAACTGAAGATGATGATGATGATGATGATGTCAAGAGCACTTCTGAAGACTACTTAATGATATCTTGTAAGTGACACATAAAGTCAGTTACTTCTGAGATTAATTTCTATAATTTGGAAAGTCATTTTGGAATCAGTGATATAGTTCATAAAGGCAGTAGGAGGGATCTTTGAAAATAATTTCAAAGCTGTGGTGTTGAGATGCTTTTTGAGTTTACCTGTATTTTTAATAACTCTGAAATTGCACACCAAAGTAAAATGAAAAGTTCAATTAATGTCTTAGAATAGAAATAATTTATTTCAAAGGTTCAATAGAAACATTAACTGCTACAAAATTTCAGTGATATGTATGTATGTGTATATACATATATATATATATATATATATATATATATATATATATATATATCAAAATGAGTAACTTACGTTTTTACTGTGTTTAGAAACCAACAGGCATTGGCATTGCCAATAAACTTTTACTTAAGAACTCAAACATAACATGTTTAGATCGGTTATATGAACTTATAATTTTGTCAACTGAAACAAACTTAGTGTCCTGTCTTTCTTTCAAGATTTATATTTTATTTTGATTGATTAGTATTTATATGTGGTCTATGCAAAGCTATTTAATGCTTTTATTTCAGACTACTTACAGTACTCTGTTTGAAAGAAGGTAGAACTATTTTGTTTTCATTTTGCCATACCAACCAGTAAAGATAATAAAAGAATCTCATGGTATGCTTTTGATGGTATATATAAAAACAAGGAGTCCAGCTGGTAGGACACTTGCCTTGACTGCCAAACTCCTATGTTCAATCCCCAGCATACACACATGAATGCACATGTGTGTACACAGGCCTGTGTAAAAAAATGGGTATGTTCTCTATGCATTTTGAAGGGATCATGCTACAATTATAAAAAAAAAATTAGTAAAGGCTTTTTAACTCTTCTAGGAAATAATATTTTCCCTTTTAAAAATAAAAATAAAACACAGAGGAGGGAATCACCATGTAGAAAGTCTGTGTATGTGTGCTTATGTGCTTATAACATGATTCTATGTTTTGTATGTGTTAGTGATTTTAAAACCAAAACCACAAACTGGATTTATGTAATTTTTAAATATATTTTTAAAGTATATTATGTTAACCTTTCTTTTGTAAGCATTTTTGTGCTTTTTCTTCTGCTTTTTTCTTTTTTCTTTTCTTTCTTTCTTTTTCTTTTTTTTTTTTTTTTTTTTTTTTTGAGGCAGCTTTACATACTACAAGCTGGCCTCAAAGTTGTGGGTATCCAAGACTAGCCTTGAACTTCTGGTCCTATTAACTCCTGCTTCTGTGCCATCATGCTCAGCCTGGTAATAATTTGCCAATGAATATTTACATTTTCTTTAAGAGAATTGGGTGCACTACTAAGAAATTGTGGGAGTGTTACTGCTTATTCTTACATGTATGTGACTTACTAGGGCAACTACTTATTTACATACTTGTAATGCTAGAAATCTTAGATGTTATGTTTTATAGGTTATCATGACTTATCATTTGTTTTCAAATATTTTTAAGGAAGAGACATACATTTCTAAGTCTGGTACCATGGTCTGTGCCTATAATTTGGAAGTAGAGGCAGGAGGATCATGAAAAAGAATAATGTTCTTTTAAGAATATTTTAAGCTAGAATATTTATCTTTTTATTTTTTAATAATAAAATGTAATAATATAAAACAAAAGCTAACACATTAGAGTTGAACATACAAACATAAGGAAAAAAGTGCAAGAGAAGACACAATGCTAAGTGAAGAGATTTCTGTCGTTTTACTCTAATAGATTTAACTGAAAATTAAAGAGAAGATTGTATTATTATCATGTTATTGAAACTCCAGTGCTTTGGTTTTATGTTGAATTTAAGCTAGAGATTGATTACTTCTTAATTATTTGTGAGAGAAGCAGGAACAGTTTAAACTTTTTCTTTAGAACTTAAATCATGTAAAGTGAATAATCCAGTCCAGCGAAGACAAGCAGTGCATGTGGTTTTTCTCATATATGAAATCTACAGTGGTGAGTGCACTAGAGAAAATGAAAATAAAATGGAGAGTATTAGGATTCTGGAAGCAGAAGGGAAAAGTAAGAAGATGGCAGGAGAGAGACATGGAAATGTCATAATGAAATAGATGTTTGTACATGTAGTATGTGCTAATAAATTGTATTACATAATTTATGTATACACATACACAAACACTAAATAATTTTTATATTACCCATGCACTCTGATTTTCCTATCCATACTCCCAAGTGCAGGGATTCTAGGCATGTGCTATTAAGCCCAGCTTAGAACTATTTCATAAAAATTTGTACAGACAAATCATAGAAAATATGTAAGGTGTGACTATTCAGAATTTTCCCACATTTTTATTGTTTTGAATAGTTATAATATTCATAATTGAACTGTTTACTCTTAATATTTTATTTTCCCCTCTTCATCTTTTTAATCTTCATTTCATTGTCTTTTGGTGTCTGGTGGCTATTGAGTCAAGTATTATGTAATAAATTGCCTTTAAAAACTCCATTCTAAATCAAGAGGTCCTTTACTTTTTTACCCCAAAATATAGACGTTCCAAAATATTTAAGGGGTGAAGCTGAATGTTTCAAGCAGATCTAGCTTCCCTAAATATTCCTGTAAAAAATCTTATTAAGTAACAGGACATTAGAGTTAAGATTTGGTTTTAACTCATTTTGAGGTGCATCTGAATTGAATCCATGTTTAAAACAAACCTCACAACTTCTTTATCCTACCAGATGAATAACATTGTCCACTTGTGCTAAGTAACTTTGAAATTAATACACAGTATTTATGTTTGCCTAAAGTTCCAGATGAATTCTTATTTTTATAAGAAGAATCTAACATATTTAAGACATTTATGGATGATCATTTCCTGTGTGAAAAACTTCACTGGAATGAGGAATCTCCTTCATAATGATGCACTGTAGTGTAAATAGGACTTTTATTTATGAAATTGAATTCATATAGGAAAATGTCATTTAAATTTTGCCAATTTTAAGAGTAAAAGAATAATGTTTATAGCTTTGCAATGTGAACAATATGAATAGTTTAGCAAGATTCAATTTATACTACAAAATTAATAAGGTATTTAAATTATTGTTTGTTCATATATTAATAGTAGAATTTCTATCACTTCAACCAATATGAAACTTTTAATTATGCTAAAATTAAACCTGGTATGCTCTTAAAGTTATTCCCCACTCTTCACTCCCAGGCAACAGTAAACATGGTTCATAAAGTTTGCTTATTTTACATATATATTTCATGTACATGGAATTGTATAATATGTGAAAATTCCTTTCTGTCTTAGGGTTTCTTAAAGGTCATCCATATCAAAGCGTTTATCATTGTAGCTTTCATTTTTTATTACCAAATGATATTCCATTATAAATATATATAATTTAGTTTACCATCATTGGTGGACAATTTATTGGTTTCTACTTCTTAACTGTTATAAATAAGGATGATAGGAAAAACGTGTACAAGTTTTTGTGGTGGTATATATTCATTTCTTCTGGATATATACTTGAGCATGGCATGCTATTAAAATTCAAATGTGACTTTTTTTGTTTTCTCTGCATTATAGAGGAGATCCTTTGTTTATTGTTTAATCACAATGATATATCAGTATATTGCATACTTATATAATAGCCATAACATAATTTTTTTATTTTTATGTACCATAACGGGCAAATTCAAAAGCCTTTGTAGCTTTAAAAAGGAGGCCATCGATTTGGGGAGGAATGAGATGGGCATGGTATAAGAGGGAGGAGGGAAGTGATATAATTGTATTTTAATCATTTTTTAGAATGAGTATTGTACTGTATATTTTGGTAAAATGAAGTTTTAATCAAATTGGGTCAGTGATCTACAAATGAATATCGAATATTTCCAGTCTTTCAGTGCTGGCAAAACATGTACCTTACTTATGTTCTTGTCTTTAATGCAAATAGAATTTTGTGGGGGTGTTATGTTGCTCACTTAAAGTTGGGTTCAGAAGCAGTAGTATTGTGTATGCCTACAAATAAGCAATAATTTAAGCTTGAGTCTATTAAGTATTTAATTTTATCTATATTAAGAACAGTCCCTGAAAGACAAGTGGTGGTACATTGCTGTAATCTCAGTATTGGAGAGGCAAGGTAGGAAGTTTGTAAGCCCCATGCCCACATAGAAAGGTCTGCATAGCTAGGAAGCTAGGGCTACATAAAACCAGCTCTACATCCTAAAAATAAGAAGAAAAAATATGTGAGAATGTATTTCTTAATTCATTTTTTTCCTAGTAAAACTTTAACATTAATAATGTTTTATTTTCTGTAAGTAAGAATACAGAATAAATATTAGTATAAAGCTGGTGGCTATACTCCAAGTTCACACCACTTTTAAAATAATTACCATTTATTAGCTAAAAATGCAAAACAAATTCAGTTGCTTCATCCATTTCAAAATTATTCATTCTGAGATGCTTAATCTAAGCAGGAAACAATGGGTATGTTAAACATTCAAATTATGAAGCTTTTTTTAAAAGTAGAAGTGAAATCAGAAAGAATACCAATAGAAAAATGATAAGGGCATATCAACTCTAATTACAATATTTATAGCTAAAATTATGGCACACAGTTTAGAACTAGGACTTTTAAAAAGTTTTATTTAAATCCCATTTTTAAGTCCATGAATGACCAAATGATTTTTACTTGAAAATTAACTTATTGTTTTAATATTTCTATGACCTCATTATTTTATTTGATATTTATAAGAAAAACTGTTAAACAGCTCATCATCTTAATTCATGACATTTTTAAACCCCATAATTGCTAAATACAGTAGTATGATTAGGAGCTACAATGGAATACAAATATTTAGATCATTCTTGTGTTATTAGAGTGCTAGCTTCTTAAACTTTTAAATAAAGTGGAAACATTTATATTTAAATAAGTGAGTTTTTCCATTTCATATGGACAAAACATTTTTCATGACATATCAAACTTGAAACTGAACTAGCAAAAATGTAGATTTTTGACTCATTTAGGATCTGCCTGAAATTTTAACAAGCACCAAGGTTATAGCTCTTTAATGCATTTTATTATATTTTTTCATAGTTCTAAAATTGTTATATATATTCAGAGGCTTCAGTGTTTAGTGTTTCATGTGTGGTATTCTGAAATATGTAATTACACAATTTTGGTTTAGATTATGCTTTAGTTTTTATAGGAACAGGATTGAAATTAAAATGTTAGAGATACAATAATTGTAGAGAATATATTGAATATAACTTATGATTGTTGTAAGATTATTAATAGGATATATTTCATAGTTTATGTAGAATATTCATGTGACATATTGTATCTTCCTCAGAAACTATAGAACAAAATAAAATTGTATATGTATGTTGAAAATCTTTAGTAGTAGTCTCAAATATGGTTGATTTGCTTTTCTGTATGGCTTTTTTTTTTTCATATGCCCTGAAGCATCAGGTTTTTAACAAGGAAAAAGTACCATGCAGTTAGGTATTATCTTTTTTCTGAGTTTAAAACAAAGTTTATTTTATACACGCACAAAATTTTTGGTTTGAGATTCTCTTCAAATGCCTCAACAGAATTTTGAGCTGTTAGGTAATATTTTCATGATCATTTATGAAAAGTCCTTTTTAACTAAAATCATTTGGATATGTTTTATTTCATCGTTTAAGATAATAGACTTGATAAATTAGTTTGAGAAACAACTGGTTTTTAATTTGAGATGTTTATGTAAAATTATTTGATGATGCATATATTTTTCTGTTACAAACTTTGGTGATAAGGATTTTTCTTAAAATACAGTCTATGCTTTATTTCATAATTGCATGTGAAGTGAATACCTAAGTGGGAACTACTTACACTTTTTTCATCTAAAGCCTGATGATTCAGTGAATATAAAAACATACGAAAAGACAAAGACACAAAATTTGAAGTAACCACTTACTTTAAAATCATATTCTGTATAGTTTTAAGGATAGCATTAATATCACAGGACCATGATATATGAACTGCTGTTAGTTAGATATTCATAAATTGCCAAAATCATGTCATATTTAAGAAATAGAGCCTATTTAAATACATGTTTGCTATTTTAAATTTCAGTGCTTCTATACAGAAACATGTTTTGGGTAATTTATTGTAATTTAAAATAATTTTATGTAATTTTGATCCTGTGATATAGCTACCTTGAGTATTGTTTTCATGAAACAGCATTTTTAGTGACTGCATAATAGAACACTAAGGGAATATAGTGGGTAGGTGGTTAAAACATTTTATTTTCCCATTATGCTTAACACTCATTAAATGTCAGAGGTACTTTTTGACTTAAATTGTTTCCTTTATATTTTGCAGTGGATGATGTGGGAGAGAAGTTAGAGCATATGGGGAACACACCATTAAAAATCGGTAGTGATGGCTCACAAGAAGATGTTAAAGAAGATGGATTTGGTTCAGAAGTGATAAAAGTGTATATATTTAAAGCAGAGGCTGAAGATGATGTTGAAATAGGTACAAAGCTATTTTAATTCCACAATATAAGAGACATTAGAATTTTTATCTTTCATGGAGATGATTCTAAAATTCTCAAAAGACAAAAATGTTCATAGGCTTCTTAGTGTATTTCTAGAACTGTGTATGAATATTTATGTATAAAGTGGGAATTGGGATTATGCCATTCTTAGATTCTTTCTGATACGAAACTTATTATGGTAGAAAACTTTAAAACGAAAATAATTGGGATTAGGAGAAGGATTGTGATGAGTGTTTGAGAGCATTGATGACAAAGGCAGGTATTTTAGATTTTAGAACTACTTCTAGCATTTAATTCAGAGATTTATCCCATAATATATTTCTAATTTACATGTGTTTTAATTTTAAAGGTGGGACAGAAATTGTCACAGAGAGTGAATATACCAGTGGACATTCTGTAGCTGGAGTGCTTGACCAGAGCCGAATGCAGCGAGAGAAAATGGTTTACATGGCTGTTAAAGATTCTTCCCAAGAAGAGGATGATATCAGTAAGATAAAAAAAGGCACTGCAATAATTTATAAGAAACAATGATATAAAAGTTAAATGCAATTGATAACAATAGATGTACTGAATAAGAACAAAGTTTAAAGCCGGGCGTTGGTGGCACACGCCTTTAATCCTAGCACTCCTGAGGCCGAGGCAGAGGCAGGCAGATCTCTGTGAGTTGGAGGCAACACTGGTCTACAGAGCAAGTTCTAGGACAGACTCCAAAGCAATATAGAAACCCTGTCTCAAAAAACCAAAAAAAAAAAAAATAGTTTAAAAAGAATAAGCCATTTCATGCAAAGGGCCCTTTTTTTTTTAGATATTCTGCATTAATGTATTACTTAGATAAGGATACATGGCTTTACATTTCAAATAATATGTTATAAAGAGATGAAGAGTTTACTGTTTTGATGTAATGAAATTCACAAATATGTAGAAATTGAATCCTATAGTACACAGTTTATCTGTGTAATCATACCTGTTTAATTGGAGTTGGAGAAGTGGCTCAGTAATTAAAAGTGCTTACTGCTCTTGCAAAGGACCCAGGTTCAGTTTCAGTTCCTATGTCTGGCAGATTATAACCATACCTGTAACTCCAGTTCCAGGGGATCCAACATCCTCTTCTGATTTACATGTACTGCACATAAGCTCACATTGGAATACACACACACACACACAACACACACACACACACACATTTTTAAAAAATCTTTAGGTGTGATAATTTCATTTATCTTTAATAATTAATCTCTGAGGTAGAAACTAATATTCCAGTTTGTAAGACAAATAAAGGCTCAGAGAAAATAAGTTGCCCAAGACCTTTACAGTACTAGAATTTGAATTCTTGTCTAACTCTCCTGCCAGTGTTTTCTCCACATGGCAGTAAGCATTTTTGGCCTATCTGGATTTAGCAGTGGATGGGCTAACTGGTTGATCTCCTGTCACTGAGATGTTAGGTTGGTAAGTATTTATACAAACCATTCTGCCAGAATCTTTATTATATTCTTCATGGGTAATTGTTACTAGGGATTTTTGGGACTGAGGACCACAGGGCAAAATCCACATTATTATTTCCAAATTTAGGTCATGCTGATATATCAAATGAAGTGTACATGGAAATCATTATAGGGGAAGAGGAAGGAACACACCTTGAGATTCAGCTTGAGAATTCTGATGTTAATAAAACATCATATGGTAGGACACTAGTATTTTTACCTTAGTTTGCATTTGCTATGCCATTGAGCAATTAAATATTCTTTGCCATAATGCCACTGTGTTGGCTAATAGAATAAAATGTTCTGCTGTGAATTGATTCATCTCCAATTATTTTACATAATTTTTTTATCACAATCTTATACTACTAAACCTAATTTAATGAATTTTTGTTACACTCTGTGCAAAATCCTACCTGTATAAGTGAGCATCATAACATGCTTTATTTTCCTAATAGGAGTATCCATTCAAAATTAATTCTTCCCCTTTATCAAAAATGTATTATATTTGTTGACATATAAATAAAAAAACTAAGATTCTAGGAAAAAACAAATTTTTTAGAACATATATTCATTTATCAAGTTTTTTCTTAACCACACTCTATCTTTTGTTAATCTCATTTTTATGTAATGTATACATTAAAAACCTCTGATGTACAGTGCATTAATTTATCAAAAGTTGTTTTTCTCAAAGGTTCATTCATTCAACAGTCATGCATGTATTGAACATCTTCATTTCTAAGGGGTACTCTGCTGAAATAGCTACTCAGTTTCACTTAAAATGTAAAACTGTTCTGGATGTTATCAATTCTAATGGGGTAGACAGTAGTCCTTATTTTCAGTGGAGGATATTGTCTAACTTAGGTAAGTTTTCAAAAACAAGTTTATTTCGTTGAGAAATTGGGGCAAACATAATTTTTTATAGATTAAAATATGATCTGTTAGTTTCTCTAGGCAGTATATCAGTTCATAACTAATTCATTTCTATAGATGAAAGAAGAGTTTCCCGAAGATATGAAGACTGTCAAGCAACAGGTAAGAGAACATTATAAATGAGATATAAATTATGTTTTGTTTTATATACTACTTGCTAAATAAAAATGTTAGCTTATGTCTGTAGGCATATTAGTTGGACTTCACCTATTATAGATGCTATATAGAAGTTTTCCTCTTTTTAACAGCCAACATATATAAATACTGTATTAATTTGTGAATGAAATCCATTTTAGGTTTCCCTGATAGTACAATTATTGGACAGTTTACAACATGGACCATAAAAGGTTGCGATGGAAAAATAATACAAATTACTTGAAGAGAAAAAGAACAATTGTTCATATCAACCATTTATTAATGTCATTCTTGGAGTGAGACTGCCTTAATTTCTATAGCAAACATCTAACATGAATATATCATAAATTTAACCCCAGCTTAATAACTTTTCTTGTTTAGTATACTCTATTTAGTATTATTCCATGGTCAGTTTACTTTTCTTAAGGAGACTTTTTAATCATGACAATATATATAATCATTCTGTTTATTTTTCTACTGGGCAGGATTTGACTCTAAAATTTTAATGTAGGTTTAATAGAAATCAACAGAAGACATATATCAGCATATATGCTAGTCTGACAGTTTTATAGAGTTAAAATTTAATATCCGACTTATTTATAGTTGTATTGCTGTGAAAAACTATAACCTAGGCGTCCTTTATTAAAGAAATCATTTAATTGGGAGCCTGCTTACAGTTTCAATGGATTAGTACATTATCATGTCAGGAAGCATGGCAGCAGGCAAACAAACAAGTAGGCTTGGGGATGAGAACTTACATCCTGATCCACAGGCAGGCCAGCAGAGAGGAACTTGCGCTTATGGTGTGGTTTTGAAACCTCCAATTTCACCCCCACCTTCTCCTACAAGGCCACACTGCCTCCAATAAGGCCATAGCTCCTTAGCCTTCCCAAACAGTTCAACTAACTGGGAACCAAATATTCCCATTGAATGAGGGCTAGGCTCATTAAAACCATTACAGTGTATTTGTATGATATGATAGAGTTATGAGAATTGGTTTCATTAAAGAGTTTATTTTGTATGCATTGATCACATGGCAGCAAATTACCTGCCATGTATATTTTAATCCCCAAAGTCAATCTAAGTAACTTTGAAATCATAAAACACATGTATCATCTATTTTACATATAACTACCATGACTGTAACAGTTCACTTGGTTATATATGTTCTTTGCTGAATCCATTTAACTTTATCAGGTTCTATTCATAAGAAGTTGGTCTGATGTTTTTATTTTTTATGGTTTCTTAAAGTTTCTTATGTTAAATTAATCTTACCAGTTTATTCCTTTAGGATATTCATGTGAAATAACTTAATTTTGTGTACTGTCTTACTCAATGTGCTTGCATGTGCACAAGAGGATATGTATAAAACTAAGGAAAATGAGAAAATGTGTATGCTTTCTTAAATTTAATACCATAACTAAACACCATGTCACATCAAGTAATTTACCTAACAGAATCCTGAAACAATAAATATATGTGATTGAACTGTTTTCAGGAAACACTTTTGACTCAGCATTAGAAAACAGAAGCACTACAGCAGCACAGTTCCTTCAAATTTGTGATAGCATTAACACAAATAAAGTACTTAAACAAAAAATCAAGAAGAGGAGAAGGGGAGAAACAAGGCAGTGGCAAACAGGTAAGGTTCTTATGTTTAAAGAATAGTATAGTAATTTGAGATGTACAGTTTTATGTAATACAAGGAGGAAAGATAATATTTGCAAGGTAGTTATCCCCCCATATAGCCCTGTATATTCTATAGATAACTAAAAACACATATATGTATGTATATATGTATATATAAACTATATATAGATAGATTAAGATTTATTTTAATTTGGCGTGTGTGTGTGTGTGTATGTGTACACTACATGTATGCAGGTGTTTGTGGGGGCTAGAAGAGAGTGTTGCATCCAGTGCAACTGGAATTACAAGTAGTTATGAGCTGCCTGATCTGGAAGCTGAGAACCAAACTAAAATCCTCTGAGAAAGCAAAAAGTGCTCTCAAATGCTATTTCTCCAGATCTGGTATTAAATTTTAGCAGTATGTTGTTGGTGCTTTAAAGTGCTTATTTCCTCCTTATTCAAGAGATATTTTAAAGACAAATTCCATATGATTATAAAGGTGCTTTATTCCTCTTTTTTATATTTCATACCATAGATAAGTAGTGTACAGTAGAAAGCCACTCATTTCTCAGTAAGCAACTTTACTACAAAAAGTTTATAATATGCATTTTATCTTATAAGGCTTTTATTTAACTACTATTTCCACATACTGAATTTCAGCTAGTTTTAGGAGCCTGTTTTACAAAATATTTTAAAGCAGTGTGATCAGATGTTATAACTTCTTTTTTTCCCTCATCCAGCTGTTATAATAGGCCCTGATGGACAGCCCTTGACAGTATACCCTTGCCACATTTGCACAAAAAAGTTTAAATCCAGGGGATTCTTAAAGAGACACATGAAGAATCATCCCGATCATTTGATGAGAAAGAAATACCAGTGTACAGATTGTGACTTTACAACTAACAAGAAAGTGAGTTTCCATAACCACTTAGAAAGCCATAAGCTCATAAACAAAGTTGATAAAACCCATGAATTTACAGAATACACTAGAAGATACAGAGAAGCTAGTCCACTAAGTTCAAATAAACTCATCTTAAGGGACAAGGAGCCGAAGATGCACAAGTGCAAGTACTGTGATTATGAAACTGCCGAACAAGGACTGTTAAACAGACATTTATTGGCTGTTCACAGCAAGAATTTTCCTCATGTTTGTGTTGAGTGTGGAAAGGGTTTTCGTCATCCTTCTGAACTCAAGAAACATATGAGAACCCATACCGGTGAGAAGCCATATCAGTGTCAGTTTTGTGTCTTCAGGTGTGCAGATCAATCAAATCTGAAAACTCACATTAAGTCTAAGCATGGTAGCAACTTGCCATATAAATGTGAGCATTGTCCTCAAGCATTTGGTGATGAGAGAGAGCTTCAACGCCATCTGGATTTGTTTCAAGGACATAAAACACACCAGTGTCCTCATTGTGATCATAAGAGCACCAACTCAAGTGACCTTAAGCGGCACATCATATCTGTCCATACCAAGGACTTTCCTCACAAATGTGAAGTCTGTGATAAAGGTTTCCATCGTCCTTCAGAGCTTAAAAAACATAGTGATATTCATAAGGGTAGGAAGATTCATCAGTGTAGGCATTGTGACTTTAAAACATCAGATCCTTTTATTCTTAGTGGTCATATTCTTTCAGTTCATACTAAGGATCAGTCATTGAAGTGTAAACGGTGCAAGAGAGGGTTCAGACAACAGAATGAGCTCAAAAAGCACATGAAGACACATACCGGAAGGAAGATTTACCAGTGTGAATATTGTGAATACAGCACCACAGATGCATCTGGCTTTAAACGACATGTGATTTCAATACATACGAAAGACTATCCACACAGGTGTGAATTCTGCAAGAAGGGATTCCGAAGACCATCCGAAAAGAATCAGCATATAATGAGGCACCACAAGGAGACTCTTATATAGTAAGATCAATATAAGGAAAGGAGTTATTTACAAAATAAGATAAGCTATTTGGAAGGAGAATTTCGCTGTTTTATCTGGTTTCAAAGCTTGATATATTAAGTCATACCTTTACATTCTTTGTATTAGAGATCTTAAAATATTGGGATTAGAAGGGGAATCTCATAGCCCTTTGAAAATTACTTAAAGAGTTCAAGAAGCACCATAGGATGGTTGCAGAGGAACTTAACTCTGTATTAACAATATTATATGCATAACTAAACTATAGAGGGAGAAATGTTAAGACACCTTATTTGATTGGTCATACTAGAAGTAAGTGTTTTTGAAAGGAAAATACATAAACGATGTAGAAATGCTTTGCTGTACCAAGCAGCCTCACTTTTATGCAATTTTCAAAATGGGGTGGGAAAAGAATGTGCAGTCATCCATCAGTCACTTAGTCATTGAACCTTTTATATTGTCCTGGACATTGGATTCCAGAAATGGCAAATGTTTTATGTATTCGTTGCAAGGAATCTCATTGAGAAAACAAGTTATATTAATTCAGTACTAGTAAAAAAAAAGCACTTCAGAGTTGCTGATATTTTATCACGGGATAGGATGTTTAAGACATAGCATTCTGTGCTGAAATATGAAGTGAAATATAAGAAATAAGGTTCCAGTTTTGATGTTCAAGTAGATTCAGTATGGCATATATGATAAAAGTGTATTTGAGTCAAATGTGGCTTTCTAAACTGGATGCAACTATAACATTACAAAGTCAGAACTATGTTTCTTATTATCTAAATATTAAATTGAGAGAACAGTTTTCTTAAATATTAAAGTATTTAGAATTTTTAGGACAGTTTTAGTAAGTATGACTGTTTGTCTTACTTGCTCTAATGTTTAAAGGTGCAATTTTATGCCATTATTGAAAAGTTTGATTTTTAAAATCTATATACCATATTTAACATAAATTTTCAATGAGGTGGTATTTATGCAGTATTTAACAGAAAATATGCTGCCAATAGAGTTTGGAGTTGGATATTCAGTTTACAGTGTATAAATTTAAAATATGCATCCCTTTAACAACGCTTTGTGTTAGCATGCTGCAAATCAAAATGGCGCTTAATATTAAAAGCTGGTGTAGGGAATTTTAATGAAAATCCTGTTCATAAATGTAATGGATATGATGTGTACTTTTAAGTTTTAGTTGGCTTAATTTAGTTTATATTCAGCTGTTCAGCATAATTAAAATGTAATTTTTCTTCATGGTATATTGTGGCTTTGTGTTTAAGTAATATTCACCTTTCTGTTTTTGCACCAGATAAGAATCAGTTACTTGAAAATAAATTTTTTATCTTTCTTAACTTCAGAATACTAAATTTGGAAAAATCTACTAAACTTGTGTGTTATGTGGCTGTAAATGATGTACACGCTGTAAAATAAGATTGTTACTGTTATGTGAACTTATTATTTCTAAATGTTACTCATTGAAATGAGCATACAATAAAAAGCATTTATTGCACTTAAAAGTTTTCTAAGTTTATTTAAAGTTTTGTTATGTGCATTTCTTATGAAAGACTTCTCACTTAAACTTTCTCTTAGGCAGTTTTATCTTTTAAAAGTATCTTGTTCACTCTTGTACATTAATTAACATATGCTAGGGATTTTAATAGTTAACAATGATTGTGGCTTGTTTATTCCTCAAAATAGATATATTTGATAAAACCATGATGAAATGTGTTAAATAAAATTACTCATTTTAAGACCCGAGAATGACTACTAGACAGGAAAGTAAAAATTCTTAAACTGTTTACATTATCTAGTTCTGAGAAATGTGTATATCTGTTAATTTTCCCAATATACATTCAAAAGATAAAGTATTGATTCAATCATTCAACCATTGTTTCTGAAAATAAGCATATGCTAATTTACTGTTCTCCAATAACTATTTAACAGAATTCTTAGTGCCATATATATATAGCACTATAAGTTAAAATTCTGTCAACTGAGTATTATTCTTTAAAGCCTATTAGCAGGAGAAGAAATCTTTTAACTTCATGTATTAAACCACTGTTTCACAAGTTTAATAATTTTAAGGTTCACCTAGGGATCTTATTGAAATGTACAGTCAAATTAATTTATAGTGACTAGTTTTACATTTCTAGAAAGTTCACCTATTTTGGCACCCTGTGAGTACTAAGGTGTTACATAAAAAGCCTTGAATGTAACTAGAACAGTTGGGTGTTCTTGCCTACATAATTGGGTAAATGGATAAAGAAAATCCATATTGAGGACATGCCCCAAATGATGTGACAGACTTTGATGATCACCCATGGGAGGCCTCAGCCTTTCCATGGAGCAAAAGAGGGGTGGGATGGGGATCAGTGGGGGGGGGGTCATTGGAGGATGGGAAGGTGAGGGAACTTGGATAATTACATAAAATATGATTGTTTCTAATTTTAATAAAAGATAAAATTCAATTTAAAAAAATAACAAGGAAAAGAAACTTATAAATACAAATATTCTGAGGTGAAATAAGCTGTTGCCAGACAATGGTGAGTAAGTAAGACTGATAAAGAGATGGGACCTGTGAGAAGTTTGTAGTAGGAAATGGGTGTGAAAGAATGGAGCATAGTTTTCCTTCCTTCCATCCTCCCTTCCCCTTTGGTTTATATTTGAAGGTCATTTTGGAGAATAAGGACTATATCACAAAGTTGCTGAGGAACGCAAGATACTATATAAAGATTGTTCATGGTTACAGTGGAATTAAACAAAAATAGATCTATTTCTTATGAATTGTCCCTGAAAATCTTCAGTCCAGACAGAATAAAAATTCAGTTAAAAGAACCAGATTCCTTGATACAGGACTGCCAAGTGTGCCAATATGGGAATTATTAAAAATCCTTTTTACAAAATAGTTCATAGCCATCATGTGCAGATGGATTTGTTCGCCTACTTTTAAATGATCCATGACATGACACAATGTATCAGGAATTAATTCCCAGATAAGGTTCCTCAAATTCAACACATGTCTCAAACAGGACAATGACCAATATCAACCGTGCACTACTCTTAAATATTTTTCATACACATACAAATTCAAGAATAAAATGAACTATGTACATTTCAAGTCTTCAGACAATGTCTGATGTCACCTCCCATTTGATTTACAAACTCTTATTCTTGGAACAGATATCAGATATTTTCCACAAGATGATTGTTTTACTAGACTCCTTTAGGACACACACACGCGCACGCGTGCACACACACACACACACACACACACACACACACTCATTTAAACAAATTTGCTGCATTGGGTCTTGATTCACACAAACAGTATTCAACACTGATGGTGTTAGCAAAGTATGTAATTAAAGGATATTTTAAAATCTGCCCCTTAAAAGTATTTCTGTAGCCTGTATTTCAAAGTTTACAAACACATTTTTTTGAGACACAGTTTCCCTGTGTAGTTCTGACATGTCTTGGAACTTTGTATACCAGGCTATCCTCAAACATGAAAGATCCAACTGCTCTACCTCTGGAGTTCTGGGATTAAAAGTGTGTGCTACCATGCCCAGCTTTATAAAATGTATTCAAGAAAATTACTAAGAATATAATAACTGATACTGGCTATCATGTAATTGTGCCCCATGACAATTCCATCATTCCTTTGTATAGTAAAAAAAAAAAGGTATGTCTTGTTTTGAAGTAAATATTGGGTATTTTTTAGTAATGAAGGGTATGTTTAATATACTCCTTACTGAAATAACTTGTTTACTATTTATACCAGAGTTATGGAATATTATGCAGTTTTCAGTTAAACAAAAAATACTACAAAATGGAGTAAATTTTGTAATGGTATAAAGATGAGCCATGTGAGGAACTCCTTTGAAAACATTTACTTTCAAATGAGTTTATATTTTCAAAAAAAATGTAATCTTTATAAATTGCAATATTAAGAAATGCAAAGACAGATTTTTGCTAAATTGACATAAACTTGACAGTTAAATAATTTTTTTAAAAAAATTGTATTCATTATATTGTTCAAGTTTGAAAAAAGTAATATAGTTAAAGAAAGCACCAGTACAAAGATGGGAAGAAAATGTCTTAGCAAACCATGCTTGGGCTTAGAAAATTAAATTTGTAAGCAAAGGTATTATGCTTGACATCAGTTGGAGTTGGATGTCATACTTTTCTTAAAGTTCCACTTTGAGTAGGCTACATCAAGAAGGCTTTGTTTTTTGGTGTTATTTTACAGTATTGCCTCTTACCTCCCTATATAAATATTCAAACAATAAAAACTTCTGGCAAAATATGAAGATAAGTTAAAAATCTTTCCTATACATTTCCTATGTGAACTTCCACGAAGACCATATAGATGCTTATATTGTTTTTAGACATATGAACAATTCTTGCATGACAGACTTTAGTCTTTATTGTATTTGACAATTTTGAAGTGAAAACATACAGAAATAGAAATGAAATAAACAGGCATCCTCACCTGACATCAATGGAGTTTTCTTTGAGAAACTTTATAGAGTTGGTGAAAGGAATATACACCACTTTTATTCCTCTTATTTCTGTTGACCTTATTTTCAAATACAGAGAAAATTTCTCTGTCATCAAATTTTGTATGGCTATTTTTTAAAAGTTGGTAAATATAGGAAACACGACTCCATTTCACTATCCTTGATCAAATGAGCTGCCTTCTTAATTGGCTATGATTAGTTGTTTTCGAAAAAAAAAAAAAAGTCTTATTCTCGTTTTCAAACTGTAATTGTGTCAGTTTTCTGTCAAGTTAATTAAAACATCCCCTTATAACTTTTATAATGGATGAAAACTATGAGTAGCTAACAGAGAAGAAATTGATCATAATATAGTGGGGCACTGTAATAATATGAAACATTAACATTTTATACATTAAATCAATAAACCAATTTTTTTCTTTATTTTCTAATTTTGCATATTGACCCCAGTTCCCACATATCATAGAACTTAATATTTAGCTGAAGTGTTATGAAAATATAAATAAGACTTAATTTCATATCAAGACCATTTAAATATTTCTCAACAGTAGTTCCAGTTAGTATAGTGCCACAGCCATGCTTATCTGAACTGCTTCTTTTCATAATGAATAATTTTTAGAATATACTTATGAAGCATTGAAAATTTTTATAAAGGTTTCTGTAGATAGTTTAGTACAAAATTATGTACTAAACATGTAACATGAATATATTTGTTACATTAATCCTAACTTTGATGAACAAGTTATTGTGCCTTTTAATTAGGTTATAGTATGAAATTTCATTGTTGTAATCTGTTTAACAAATACTTGTATCCACTTTGGAAAGTCATTATATTTCAACTAAGAAATTTCTAAATACATTAGGGCACTATTATAAAATGTTCTCCAATAAGATAGTTATCAATTACCTTTTATTGTTATTTTTATTACTTAAGCTTTTATAACTATGAAATATTTCAACATTGTATCTGTATATCACTATGAAAACTTCTATATTCTTATTGTCCTACTACTACAGTATTATATGTTTTTAAGAAAGTGAATTGGATCACTAGCAGAAAGCATGTTTTGAAAGAATAGATTTTCCCAAGTACTATCATGTACTTAGAACCGAGTTCCACAATGTATAATTTAATTAATGTAGTTATTTAAAATACATTAGCCCATTTCCTTGATTAACAACATTAACCTCCACCTCTGACTTAGCTATTTCTGACTCTTGTTTGGTCACAAGCTCAATGTTAGAAAAGTACATTTAAGCTGTATTTTTCATGCTCTAATTAACCTATTTTTAAACGTAATTGTCCTTTGCCTCTGTATTGCTGAAAAAAGTATTGAATCTTGTAGCTAAATTGCATATTTAACATTATAGAATTACTTGTAAAGACTATCCTTATGAATAAGTTTAACATATAAGAAGCATCCTAGATAAAAATAGGTTAGGTTCCACAATGTCTGCAACCAGAGTTTAAGTAAAATACATTTTTCTTTCCATTTGTGTGGTATTGTATCAAATATATCAATATTATAGAAAAGGATTCAGATCTTCTGAAAGTCTGGTGGAACTCATCTTCACAATTAAGTCATCCCAAAAGATTGTTTGGGATAGGACCATGCTTCACGATTTGATTGCACTTTAGCAATAGAAAAATAATAATTAAAATACTGATACAGCAGACAAAGAAAATCTCCTTTGAGTTGTAGTATTGCAAAGTGGATCAATTCATGGCTAGAAAAGAAAAAAAAGTATCTTAAAATTGGTTCACAATTATTTTAAAATACTGCCATTATTATGTGTACATAGTTCCTAAAATTATTCAGTTGGGTATGTATACAGCTAACAGAAATGTACCACACTTTTATATACTCTTACATAGTGCTCAATAAAATAATCTTTCTGACTTAAGGCATGTGTTTTAAATGACTGTAAACCAGAAGGAGGGAGATTGAGAAGCATTGTCTTCTTATTGTCATATTTAAAGGTTAAGTATATGCTGAAATACTTCTGGTAATACAGATCTATCTTCTGTGAGTTTATATAAGTATGTTCCTCTATCTATATCCCTTTCAGACCTTAACTATTTCATTGGAGACAGAAGGAATAGTTTCTCATTCTATTGTCACCTCTGAGGCACATGTAGTTAATCTAGCAATTGATTCTGAGTCTTTCAACATCAACTTTCCTTAGATGAATATTTTGTACCCTATACAGACTTCTTTTCTTACTATTCTGGCTCATGAGTTATCACATTCTCATTTTAACTCGATAATTAGTAATAATTCTCAACTAGTTAATGACAAGAAAAATGAGTTTGGTAGCATGGTGTTGGAGGTGCATGCCTTTAATCCCACCAGCACTTGGAAGGTAGAGGCAGGCAAATCTCTGTGAGTTCCAGGCCAGCCTGGTCTAGAACTAGTTCCAGGACAGACTCTAAAGCAATACAGAGAAATCCTGTCTCAAAAGAAACAAAAAAAAAAAAAAAAAAAAAAAAAAAAAAAACAGAAAATGAACAAACAAAAAAGAAGAAGGAAGAAAAGAAAAGAAAAAGGTAAATGACTTTGAAAGATTACACTTTTCATGTATTTTTACATTTGCTAGAGATTTACTAAATACTATTTACTTGAAAGATTGGTACCTATGTACTGTAAAAGACCATTAGAACTAAAATATTCATGATTTTTTATTACTGAAGTATTTGAGTTTATTTGTCCATAAGGTATATATTTTAAAGCATTATTTGACAACTTTTAATTTTAGTAACAGCGTAACTGGATTGCAATTTCAGATTTACGATTTAGTGCTTGTCACCATATACTTACCAAGATGCAATAAAAATGTAAAAAAAATTTGTATATTATAAACCCTAGTTTCCAAACTGCACACATGTATACTCAAAATCACTCATCTTAGAAAAAAAGTATTAGTAAAGTGAATGCCTTCCTTATGTTCCCTTGCAATCAGCCTCTACTTTCTCTGATTAACCACTTCTCAAGTTTACTGTCCATGGATGGCTTTGCCTATTTGTAGCTTATAAGCCATTTGAGAGGTAAATGTTAACACTGAAGTTATTTTCCACACTGTTGTGAATAAGGTGAGATTCTGAAATATTTTTATGTCCTTTGTACCTGAATAATGTTATACATTCCTGTTCTCATGATCAGAAGATTACTACTAAATATCATCTAAATATCATGTAAGACTACAGAAGTATATAACTAAGAAAAACTCGAGCTCTTTTTTAATATTAGCAAGTTTTCTTAAGCTCCGTCCTATTAATATTTGGGGACAGATTTTGTTGTTATTGCTGTTTATTTTTTTTGTAAGGGAGTGTTCTGCACACCATAGGATGCATGATAGCACCAGTGTTCTCTACCAAGTAGATGCTAATATAATTCACCTCTAAGGGAAACTGAAAATAACTAAATAAGGAAATATTGTGGCGTTTAGAAATGGATTCCCCTGGAGAGAACCACTGTGCTAGGGAATATATATTTCCTCTTTGATGATCACTAATATAAAGGTTAACTATAAAAGCAGTATAAGTCTTAGGAAAGTAGATGACATAAATTTATAAGAGAGTTTAAAATGATCAGCCCCTTAGTAATGGGTTGAATTATTTAGAGTGGTGTTGATATCTATGTTGTCAGGTGATGTAAAAGGAAATTGTGGAAAGTAAATGTTAGAGTACATGCCATTTGCATGATTCTTCAGCCTTACATTAAACTCCAGAATTCAAAGCTGAAGCATTTTACAGTCTAGAAGAAATGAAAGGTAATAAATATCCACATTCAAGATTACAAGAAACAACTATAGTGATACATGCATATTATTTATGCTCCATTCCCCCTCAAATTATCTTATGGCACTTGATATTTTACCTAATTTTTGAAAGCCCTAAGTATATACAGGCTAGAAATGTCCAAATAAACTTACACAAGTCCATTTGTCTTCGGTTTTCTCAATCACAATAGTCTGTGTGTCACTTCCTGGTGGTATATATTCATAGTCATCGTACAGGAGACCTAGGATTGGATATTGTGTCCTGTACCTTTACACCAAAAAGAGAGTTACAAGTATTATGAAATACCTTTCATTTATAGCCACTTCCATTTCCAGTCCCCCATTTAAATAAATTCATTGATGAATGATTTTTATTAGTTTCAAATGAAATGTCTTATCAAATATAAAAGGACTGCTATTGTTATTTTTATGTTTAATAAGACTGACTTCTGCCTTGGTCCATGATGGATAATTGGTAGCACAGGACAAGATACACAGAAAAAATTGAAATGAAATAAGTACCATAAATAACAAGCTCACTGCTTAGAGAATTTTACATGTTTGCAGGATAGGAAAAGAAAAAACAAATGGGTTTCAGAAATATCATCAAGTTAAAGTGACACAATAATGTATGCCACAGCCATGTCTTGTGGGGCAGACCTATCTAGTGCCAGTCTATACACAGAAGAAAAAGGAATATTCTGTCCTGCTGTTCACTATGGTGAAGGTATTCCTTGTCAAATATGTTCCAAAATACTATATGAAAATTCCAAATATAAATAATTCTTGAATTATAAATATTGCACCATTCTGAGTAGGGCAATCAAGTTTTGTTTTGTTGTGCTATATTGTGCATGTGAGTTATGCCTTTACTTAATGTATCCATGCCATATAAGCTACTCACAGTAATTCAGTTTCAATAATTTATTAGGAGATCAACTGTGATATCACAAATACCCATTTCATTCTTCCTAAAGCACAAAATAAGTGATGCTGAATATTCAGATACACATATTCTTTAAGTGTACAGGTAAAATATGTGCAGGTAACAATGGAAAAATTATATGCTGATATTGATTACATATTTTTTAAAAAATCAAATAAGAAAAGACCAAGTTTTTATAATGGTTTGTACTTTTCAGGATTTCAGACATGCAGTGTGATTAACGGAGCATATACCTGTCACATAAAGGGTTACTATTATCACTTTGAATAATGAAAGCAAGATAAAGACTGCTTTCCAATTTAAAAAGCCAAGAGAATTTTTTGCTAGAAGTGCAGCACAAAAATGCAGGCAATACTAGATAAAAATCTGGACCCAGGATAAAGAATTAATAGACTCAGAAGAGATAGTTATGTAGAGAAATCTAAAATATTGTTTTCGTTATTCTCAATAGTTTTTAAAAGGTAGTTAACTTTTAACTTTTAAAAGCAAAAAGGGTTTTTATGATGTATAAGAGAAAGTACATATGGTAAAAATAACAGAATGAGCATAAAGTAGAAATAGAAATGCTACATGTGATAGAATGTAATAGTGTTTGAAGGCAGATAAAGAATATTATAAATATATGTATATGTATATATACATGTGTTTGTATGTGTATTTTATTATACATATATATTTATATAAGATATAATGTAACAATGAAAAGAAATATGTAATAAAAAACATGCATAACATATAATCATGAAAGAAAATTTAAAATAAATGGGAAAAATGATGAACAAGGAGAATGCTGAAAATCTAACAAGATCTCAAAACACGTTGATAACTGCCATAAATATAAGGGTTTTTAATATGCTTTATAACACTTAATTGTTCAATTGTATATAGAACAAGATAGCTGTGCTATTTAAAATAAGCAAATTAAAATAATCCCCTAAATATAAAAATTAGCCTTAGAAAAAGATTATAACATGCATAGCATAGAACAGAAAATTCTGCTAAATGTAGGACAGTTCCTGAAAAGTGAATGTGGTTGCCAATCCTTAGTAAGAAAGTGATATGATCTTTAGGAGATGAGATCTAGTGAAAGGAATTTAAGTCATTGGAGATGTACCCTAGAAGATATTGAGAATATAGCCGGTCCTCTCATCTTTGCTTTTTGACTGTCATGAGATAAACAGTTATTTCTGTCATGTGCTCACTGCTAAGACATTATGCCTTACCATAGGCCTAAACAAAAGCAGTGAGACCAATCATGGACTGAAACTTCTGTGTGGTGGTTTGAATGTGATATCTAGCATAATTCAGGAATTTTAATGCTTGGTTCCTTAGTGGAGTTGTCTTGGGATGTTTAGGAGGTCTGGCCTTGTTGGAAGATGTATGTCATTGTAAATGGGCTTTGAGAATTTAAAGACTTATGCAAAACTCTACTATAAAAAAGTAAAGCCCAGGACATTAGCTAACCAGGTCAAGGCCATTTCGTTCAAGGCTGATGACCTGAGTTCAATTCTCAGAATGCACTTGGTGGAATAAGGAAATCAAGTCCCACAAGTGGCCCTGTGATCAACATATGTATATAATGGCCTACACATATAAAATGAATAAATGTTATTTTAAAATTTATTTTAAAAAAGAAATTCTGGAGGAAATGTCAGAGGGTATTACAAACATTATAAACATATATAAAACTTCAAAAAGTTTTTTCTTTTTTCTTTTTAGAATAATATTTTTTCTTTTTGGAATAATATTTTTTTAATTTAAATTAGAAACAAGCTTGTTTTACATGTCAATCCCAGTACCCACACCCTCCCCTCCTTCCCTGTCCCCTTCCCAATTCCTATCTCATCCCCTTTCTACTCCATAGGGAGGGTGAGGCTTTCCATGCAGGATCTACAAAGTCTATCATATTATTTGGAGCAGGGCTTAATCCCTCCACCAAGTGTCTATGCTGAGAGAGTATCCCTCTATGGGGAATGGGCTCCCAAAGTCCATCCATACACTAGGCACTAAGGATAAGTACTGATCCACTACCAGAGGCCACATAGACTGCCTAGTCCTCCTAACTAACACCCACATTCAGGGAATCTGAGTCAGTCCTATGCTGGTTTCCTAGCTATCAGACTGAAGTCCATGAGCTCCCCCCTTGTTCAGGTCAGCTCATTTTGTGGATTTCTCCAGCCAAGTATTGACCCAAAACTGGGCAAAATTGAGCATGGAAATAAGTAAATGTTATTTGGATGTTTCAATAACTATTTTCTACCCATAATAGACTGGACTGTATGTGAACATGGAAGTAGGCTTGAATAACACATTTCATCCATGCCTAGAAGACTTCAATACTATTTTCTACCTAAAAAGAATGTATATATATATATATATATATATGTATATATATATATATATACACACACATATATATATATATATACACACACGCATATATATATATATTAATATAAATGGAATTTTGTGTGGGAGGAACTAAGACTCAATAACTTAAGAACAGAGTATGTTCTAGTGAAAATGGAATGAAGTCAGAAATAAAAGTGAATACCATAAGAAATTCACAATTCTAAACAATTAACAAGTGTGCCCCTCAAAAAAAATCACAGAATAATCTAGACACTGGCAGTATGTAGCTAAGAGTGCTTGCCTATTATTATGTAGGAAGCCCTGTGTTCCATTCCATACTGGAACAAATGAAAAAGAAAGTAAATATCCTAAGACAACTAGAAAAATAAAGCATGCTGAAACTTATGCAATACAGTGAAAGCAAGGCTCAAGAGAAAATATTACAGTTATACTGCCTCTTTTATAAGGAAAGGACAATCTTAATCACATAAGATTGTACCTTACAAATCACTAAAAAAGAGAGAAAAAACACGCACGCACACACACACACACACACACACACACACACACATAAAATAAAAATTTAAAGTTTAGATGGGAGATAGAGATTACTGTAATCAAAATTATTTCTAAATAATTAACATGGATTGACCAAGGAAAAGTGAGATGTCTCAAATTGCTAAAATTGCATAGCAAAAATAGAAGATCACTATTACTGACTTTTAAGAAATAAAAAAGCCATGGATCTGGGAATGGGGTTTGGAGGGAAGAGAGGTAAATGATAGATGAGAGGAAAATAAGAGACAATGGGAAGTGAGAATACTAGAGTGCATTGTATACTTGTGTAAAATGTTTAAGAACAAATTTAATCAATAAAAACATAAATGAAAAGGAAAACATTAATACAGATTGACAAAGGGAAAAAAGAGCTAACTCAAATTACTAAAATCACACAGGGAAAAGGATAAATAACTACTACTGTCTTTGAAGAAATAAAAATCAGTACATAAAAGAACTATGGAAATCTGTAACGGAAAAGACTAGTTAACACAGATGAAATGAGGAAATATTGGGAGTAAATCCTAGAGTAAATTTATATCAAGAAGAAACAGAAAAACTATCAAAAACAAAAACAAACAGAAACTAACATCTTACAAAGGAAAACAATCCTCAAGTATTTGCAACTAGTATAGTGTATCAGAAATTTAAAAAATTAAGAGTAATCCATGGGAACTCTCCAAAAGACTAAGATTTAAAACTAACAAAAAAAAAAAAAAAAAAAAAAAACACTTTTGATTTCATTCTCTCAAGTAAGTTGTAACCTACTACCAGAACCAGAAATATATCTCAAGAGTAAAAGAAAAAAAAGTCAGATTGTCCAATAATATTTGTGAGTGCAGAAGTAAAAATTCTGAACAAAATGGTAGTAAACCAAATCCAATAACATAAAAATAAGTGCATAGTGTGAACTAGAGCATTGGACTCAAACAATAGGAGAGTGTAACAACTTAAAAATCACTTAATAGAATATATAATTTATAGAACCACATGCACTTTCTTTTGAGCATCTAATATAAATTTTCTAGCACTGTAATAACTTGAAAAATGATTCCATAAAGAATAGAAGAATAGAAGTGAACATCTTCAACTAGATAAAAACTCATAGCTAACATTATATTTGAAAAGTAAAAAGTAAATTTCACTTAACCCACTTCTAAGATCAGGAAAAATGAAAATAATTTCTTCTATTTAACATTGTGTTGGAGGGCAATTAGGTAAGAAAAATGGAAATAAAATGTACATAGCCTGAAAATAAAGTTATTTGCAAATGAAATGATCTCATAAGATAATTTTGATAAGTTCAGTAATAAACAATTATAGTATATCTTTAACCTTGAGAAATATAAAATGAATACACAGACAACCAATTGTAATCCTATACTCCTATAATTAATGATCTGAAAATGAAATTAAGAAAACAATTCTAGGAGTTGGTGAGATGGCTCAGAGGTTCAGAACCCTGGCTGATCTTTCAGAGGACTCTGGCTCAATTCCCAACACCCACATGGAGGCTTAAAAACCATCTGTAATCCAGTTGTGGGAGAACCAATGACCTCTTCTGTCCTTCTCATACACCCAGACACGTACACAGTACACATACACATATGCAGGCAAAACACCCATATACATGAAGGTTTTATTTTTCTTAAAAAAGTAAATAATTATACTAACAATAGCATGAAAAATAATACTTACGAATAAACATAGCAAAGAAGTGTAAGATTTATAAATTGAAAACTACAAATTACTGTCTCATTAACTGAAAGAGACCTAGCCATGGTAGCATACACTTTTAATCTCAACAGTTAGGAGACAGAGGTAGGTGGATTTCTGTGAGTTGGATGCCAGCCTAGTCAATAGAGTTCTAGGCCAGCCAGGTATATGGTTTGAATGGAGATGAAACTCACAGGATTATACATGTTAATATTTGGTCCCTAATTGATGGAATTGTCTTGGGAAGGACGAGGAGGTCCTTGAGCATGGAGATCTTTCCATCTTCTGAGATCTTCTAGATTCCTACCAGTGGGGAATATGGAGCCTAAACTGGAAATCTCCTGTAATCAGGCAAGATTTCCAGTGGAGGGATTGGGACACCAACCCAGTCACATATATGATGGGGTATTTGTGGTACAGAAATTTTGGGAGTGGCCAACCAATGACTGATCCAGCTTGAGATCCATGCCAAAGGAAGGATCCCACTCCTTACAATGCCTGAATGGCCAGGACCCAGAGGTTGGATAGTTCAAAGACCTAGGATAGAACCAAACATGACTAGAAAAAAAAATCAAGGAAATGATTACTAATGATATTCTGCTATACTCATTGATTGGTATCTTTCCCAATTGTCATCAGGGAAACAGATGCAGAGAGCCACAGCCAAACATTATGCCAAAGTTGGGAAATCCTGCTGAAAATATGGAAGAATGTTGTAGGAGCCAGAGGGGTCAAGAACACCATAAGAAACCTACAGAATCAACTAACCTAAGCTCATAAGAGCTCACAGAGACTGGACCGACAACCAGGAAGCCTGCGTGAGACTGACCTAGAAGCCCTGCACATATCTTACAGTTGTGTAGCTTAGTCTTCTTGCAGGGCCCCTAACAGTGGGACCAGGGACTATCTCTGACTCTGTTGTCTGCTCGTGGGACCTTTTCCTCGTACTGGATTTTCTCATCCAGCTTTCAATTTGTTATGCCAAGTTTGATTGATATGCATGAGAGGCCTACCTCCTCTGAATAGAGACTGAGGAGGAGTAGATGGAAGGCAGAGGGGAGATGGGGGGAAGGGTTAGGAGGCGAGGAAGTAAGGAAAGCATGGTTGGGTTGCAAATTAAATATATATATATATATATATATATATATATATATATAGAGAGAGAGAGAGAGAGAGAGAGAGAGAGAGAATAGACTTTAGCATAACATGTGATCAGTAACATTAAGAAAACAGTATTTTCCAGAAACAAAAGGGCAGGTACACATATGAACTCACAGTGATGATAACAATATACAGAAGACATACACTTACTCCAGACAAAAGAAAAGAATATTTACTATTTTTAAGTTGAGAAGATCTGATATATATATATATATATATATATATATATATATATATGAAATGCAATGAGAACATAACAAGGTTTAAATACATTGTGTTTTTACATAATTCTACAAACTTATCCTAAGATTCATATAGAAAATAAATAAATAAACCACTAATAGGAAAATAATGTGGGCAATGATGATTTGAAGACTAGCACTCCTGCTTTAAACTTAGCAAAATCTATAGGAATGACAGTAGTGTGACAGTGACATAAATATAGAGAGATCAATGAAATAAAACTAAGATTCTACATTAAAAACTAGCCAATTGAAAGTATAAAAAGAATTTAAATAGAAATCTATCCAAAGAATATATATATATGTATATTTCATATATGTATAATATATGATTTAATTCAAAATTATCATTGCTAGCTAGTGAAATACAAATCATGGATAGCACAGTAACTAGGTTGTCCAAGAGAAGGACACTAAAAATTTTGGGAAAAGTAGAGAAACCTTGGAACTCCCGTCCACTACTTGTGGTGTACAATGGCAGTGTAAACTGCTACTATCTTACCCACCATCTTCACTCATAAGTTTACACTTAAATGAATTGAAGGACATATTCCACACTTGTACAGAGGTGTTCATTGTAGCATTACTCATAATAGTCCAAAATTGAGCACAAACTAAATATCCATCAACAGATAAATATATATTATGTCACATATAATAAGCAACCAATCATTTGTTTTTGCTTTATAGTATTTAACTATATATATATATATATATATATATATATATATAGTTATCCTAACCATAGTATAAATGTCTTTTTTGAATATTCATTCTTCAGTAGAATAGATTATAAGCAAAAAAACCCTCTTTTTTAGTGATATGCATATCAACTAACATGATAATAACTTAAATTTAATAATGACTTTACATGTTAGAATGTAATTTTAAAGTACATTACTTTTTTGTGGTGATTGTAGTTCTTCCACCACTGGAGGGTTGGTTATGGGATGAATATATTTCCTGTCTCAACTTTGAAAGTTCCTTACAAATAAAACACAATGATTATTTAAATAGAAATATAAACATGAAATAATGAGGTTACTATGAACAACCCACCACCACTCCTTTTGTTTTGTTTTTATGTAAAGTATTCTAATCCTACTAATAAAGATCCATAGTAGCCAAAATTCTGTACATACCTTTGAAGAACCCCACTAACTAAGGCATGATATCAACAATTGATTAAATGTGCTTTTCCCATTATGAGGATATGAATATTTTTGCCCTTAACAATTGAATCATAAGGTTAATTAATGATGATGATGATGATGATGAAATTTCAATACGGAAGTAGATGCATAGTCTTAACAGATATTTATAATGAGTGTTAACTGCAAATGCCATTTTTAAATAATAGCAATAAAGTACTAGCCCATTGCTTTTAATAGTTCCTTTAGTACTTATTGTATGATAGATTTTTGGGATACATGTTGCTGATATAATATCATTCTTTAATGAAAGAGGAGTTCATGACCTAGGAATGAGCTCACAAGCTTTGGGGAATTTTTACTGCTAATGAAATATAAAGTAATTGTCTTAGAAATAGTAAAGGTACAACATATCTTTTTTCTTTAACTTTAATTCCTGATTTCAGTTGAATTATTTCTCAAGTGGAAATTTACATAATACTCTCATGTGTAGTAAAGTATATCTTGGTAATGTGTCCTTTCCGTGATGTTTTAAGAATTTAGCCTTTAACAATTGAACCATTTCTGCAATTCAATGTGTCCTTTTCTAATCCATGGAAAGTACATATTCTACAGAACCTAACTGTACCATTCTCCTCCACCCTGCATTTGCCTCTTATTTTTCTTACCTCTGATTGACGCTTTATAAGAGAATCCTTCTCTTCCAGCAAACTTGTCAGTTCATGAAGCTTGAATTGGAAGTCACTACAACTTCCTTCTCTTTTTGAAACATCTTTTTGGTACTGGTTTAACTGGGACTAAGGATTTAGAAATAATAATTACTATAATGCTTTTAAAAAATAAATTGAATTCCAGTGAGGTAGTTAGGCCAACTCACATGGCTAGTCATCAAATGAAGAATAATATATCAATTACCATAAATATTTATAGAATTTTATTTATATAAAATTTAATTTGAAATATCAACTAGGTAGTTTTCATTTTAACAACTCGTGCTTGCTATTTATGATTAGGTACAAGTAAGTGCTTAGGCCATAGCAATAAAATAAAACTAAGAAAATAGACATTTCAGATTTCTTAAAACACTAATTAAGGCATCTTCAAACCTAACATTATGCTGTGACTTATAGCTCAGAAAATGACTTCTGATCATGTCTTAAATGAATTTTCACAGGATCCCAGGGAGACAAGTATTACTTTCAAAGAGTTAAATGAATCCCAGAATATAGAATAACACAACAATGGTTGCAACTCCAAAAATGCCCAAATACAAATCTTGTCTTTTTCACTTTTTGGTTAAAGTGCTACCAATGATGTTAGGTTGAGAAAGAGGAAAGCAGTGGCAGATATTTGTTAGAATAATCAAGAAGCTATTAACAAATTAAATTTTGTTTAATTTATTTCAGAAAACAAATTTTACTGATATAATATGAGAAAAATTATTGGCCATTTTGTCCATTAAGATATTTAAATGCATCTGTTTACATTTAGGACTCAATATATTAAGGGTTAGTTAAATCAATTCAAAATAGAATTATAAGGTAACATAGTATACCCCTGCAAATATCCTAATTTTCATGTGAATTATAGGTAGACAAAATTCAGCATAACTTATCATGAATGACAAAGTCCTTTATATGCATAATTTGTTAAAACACAGAGCAAATGCTCAAGAGGTTCAGCCCCAACTGCTACATCTAAAACACAAACTCCTGAACCTAAGGCTCAGGGAACATCATGGAAGAGTGAGCAGGAAAATTGTAAAAGCTAGAAAACTGGTAAATCTGCAACGAGATTGACCCTTTTAGAAATGACTGGGAAATTTCACCCATGATGCCTCAACAATATTTCTGTCTAAACAAGACCTGAAGAAGTATAACAGTAGCAAATATGTTAACACAAGAGGGGGAAAATCTCACTAGACTGTACCCATAGACAAAGAACTGCAGGCAACCAAGGAATGCAAAGAGTGGGAGAAACAGATTTCCCTAGGGATGAATCCCTTAATTGGTTATTCAATACAGAATGCTTAGCTTCAAGATTACAGGCATACAAGTGACACTAAATTAGCTGACCAGGTTGTATTTATGTATTTAGGCATTTGTAAAGATATGCTATAATAACATTTAAAGAAAAAGGGGCCAGGGTCTTGAGAAGGAGTGAAGGGCAGGTATGTAGAAGGGTTGGAGGGAGGAAAGAGAAGGGAGAAATGGTGTAATTATTTTTTAAATAAAAAAGTCAGATAAACTAAAGTACTTATAAACCCAGCTAAACTATGGCTTAGCTGTATAATTTTAAATATTATTCCTTTCTGAATGAACATGTATTAAGCAATATTATGAAGAGTCTTCAACTCACCCCAAACACAAATTTTAAAACTTAATAAATATCAAAATAATGAAATTAATATCTTTTTACCACATGAGAAGAAAACTTAACCAACAGTATAAAGTAATTTAACTTTAAATACCAGTTAGGAATTTCACTGCTTTTTAATATTCAGAAGTATATCTATTAAGAAAATGTTTAAGAAAATATTTAAAAAAATCATTAACTTACTTATTTTTCTTTGTAGATTTACAATTATAACAATCATTTTATTTATTTTTAATAGTGGTAGAAAGGGAGAATGGTGGTAATGTTGATAATAATTATTATCTTTAATAAAAATGTACCTTATTAATTTATATGTTCATGCATTTGTATGCAGGCTTGTACGTGAATGCAGAGGCCACAGATTTAAGATAGAACTTGAATAGCTGTTGAGACAGGCATTTGAAGGATGCCTGGCTTGTTACATTGGTAATGGGACCCAAACTCTGCTCCTCATGATTGAACAGCAAGCATTTTTAACCTCTGAGATCGCTCTCAAGGTCCAACCATCACTATTCTTTTAAAAATTTTCTATAGGCATGTATTTAGAAAATGTAGGATCAACATACCCTTAGCTTGCTGATTTCTCTATCCTTCTCAAGTCTCAAATTTTTTACCATCTCCATATAATGGTTGCCAATCTCATCCATTTTAGCCTGTAGTATCGGGCCTGTGCAAGTCTCAGACACCTATACAAAAGCAAAATAACTGTAATTGGATTTTTAAGAAGGAAATACATATTAGGCTTCAATATTTGTTACATGAATACCATATTAATTAAATAAGACATCAAAATAATAAAAATGACCTTGAGAGGCTATTTGATAAAGCTCAAGTGTCAGCAAGATAAAAACATTCATTTAAGGTCAGCAGAAAGGAATTCAAGTACTTCAGAAGGTGAGGTTTGTATATTCTATTAAAACTGATAGCTTTTATAATTATATAGCTAGAACAATAGTATAAAAATTAGTACCTGTATTCTAAGGCTTTTATTCTCTTGTTCTAAATTACGTTTACAATATTCTAGTTCTTTTAGTTTGTATTCCATGTCTGATAGTGTATGTCGAAGGGAAAGGTTATTTTCTTCCAATGTCTGACATTTTGAGCTTGAGTCTTGAAGTCCTTGCTGTAGAGAAGACAAAAGTCCGTAAGAAGAATGATTTTTATTTTACAGAGGAAATGCCTTTTTAAGTGATTCATTGAAAAGTTGAAGCAAATGATTTCAAGATGAATCTTTTTTAGATTCTTGCCTGTAGATAATATTTTAAGCATCATACTACTATATATTAAGCTTGTTCATAATCTCATTTGCCTAACTTTAGTAAAAAAACATTAACATAAAACAAAATTAATATTAGATTCATTTTTTATTTTTGCTTTTCTTTTTATTATTATTTTATTATTTTTCATATTGATCCCAGTTCCCTCTCCCTTACTCTCTCCCTCTCTTTCTCCCTCCCTCCCATGACCCCTGACTACTCTCCTATCCCATTTACCCCACACACATTTCACAGGGAGGGTGATGCCTTCCAGGCGAGGTCAACAAAATCTGTCAAGTCATTTGGAGTAGGGACTAGGCCCTCACTCCTGCCTCTAAGCTAAGAGATTATCCCTTCATGGGGAATGTGCTTCCAAAGTATCCCAAACCAGGATACATCCTGGTTCCACTGTCTGAGGTCCCTTAGACTGCCCAGGCCTTCTAACTGAGACCCATGTTCAGGGGGTCTGATTGGGTCCAATACTGGTTTTCCAGCTATCAGTGTGGGGGTTCATTTTAGCCCCTCCTTGTTCAGGCCAGCTATCTCTGTGGGTTTCTGTTAGTATTAGATTCTTGATAGTCTGATCATATCATAGTATACTAACAGTCACTAAAATGATCATGCCCTTGATTGTGGTAAAAAATAAAAGAATGTCCACTTTATAAAATCTTTCGGAAAGCCATGAGACAAAAAGTAGAAAATAAACTCTAGGGGATCATGAAAGTTTGGTTAGAATTATCTCTGCTCAAACAAATGTAGAATATACATAGAGTTCATTCTCTTATTTATTCAGTATAAAAACGCAAGATCTACAAAAGCTTCTTTGTCCCAATCAACATATCATTAAATTAAATGAATAAGTCAACCTAGATTTTCAGTGGCAATTCTTACTGCTCCAAAATACAGAGAACCGTGTGCTGCATATAATATACAACAATTAAGGTTGCCCGTTTTTCTGAGAGGACATTTATTTGTTGGAAGTACAAAATGCTATTCAATTCTCAAATGAACAGATTTTCCCATCACACTTTAACTCTGTCTGGATTGTATCTCAGAATGCCAATATCAGTAACTGTGCATATGGAAAACTATTAATCTATAGTATTACCTAGGAAAGACATCAACTTACTTGCTGTTGGCGATTATTTGCTCTCACTGATGCCAAGAGTTCCTCATACTCCTTTATTTGATTTTCTTTGAATGCCAAGTCCTTTTCAAGTCTTATCTTGTCATTTTCTAGTGACTAAAGGCATAAATTACTTATTAGGACTCAGAGTTATATAAAATTAACAGGCAAAGTCTTGTTTACTTTGTAAAATTTAAATAAAACTTGTTTAATCTGTAATTGCATAACAAAGCAGAATTCTTCAAAGTGAAGCAAATAAAAGATAGATAGAAAAGCATAAACTTTGAAAACCTGTATTAAAAGGATATTTTAATGGAATGGCTACTGCTAAGTACAAAGAAGCAGAAAGCACTCAATCATCTTTATATTTTACTTCAATCTACAAAGAATTCTTAATCCCAGCAGGTGGAGAATTTTCAAATTAAAGTCTGACTATACTCGTGAGAATGCAGAAACAAACCAGAAAATTAGGAGGATACACACACACACACACACACACACACACACACACACACACACACACACTCCAAAGTCCTCAAAGTGTTTACCCCTGTTAAGAGAGCATTCAGAATTTTTCTACCTGACAGCACCAAGAATACTGATTACAATGAAAAACTAGAAAGGTTAAATATTGGGAGGAAGGTGTTTTCAAGTTGTTTTATTGAAAGAGAAATTCATTATATGATTTAATATTACAGTTAAGAAGGAAATTTTTATTAAGTGACTACAGTTGTTCTAATTTTGTAGGTGACTCTTTGGCTTTAAGAATTAAATTGTTTTAGTGGTAAATTAAATTGTTAATGCATGTCAACATACATTCATGCACTCATGGGCATTTTTTTTAAAATCACCTTTCAATGCTAATTAGCTGTTTCACAAAATAATTTATGTCTAGGTAGGTGTAATATTGTTATGTTGCAACACATTTTAAAATTATATTGAATATTTTTATTTGTATTAGGAAGCTAACAATCAGAAACACTTTGGAAAGAAATATCAAAATAAATCTTACCGTCAAGTCATGTTGAAGATGTCCAAGTTCTTCCCGTATGTTACTAAATGTGGACAGTACTAGTCTCAGTGACTTATCAGACATACCCCTCATCTGGGGAAGAAAACAGTTGTGGGTTTATTTTACTAATATTTCAAAATAGGCAATGCAAGCAAACATATTTTTTTCTGTTCCTACAAAACACTTTTAAAATTATTTATTGTTTGTTTATTTATTAGGGTTTTTTTGTTCTTTTTTTTAAGACAGGGTTTCTCTGTGTAACAGCCCTAGCTGTCCTGGAACTCACGCTATAAACCAAGCTGACCTCAAACTCAGAGAGATCTGCCCGCCTCTGCCTCCCAAGGGCTAGGATTAAAAGCATGCATCACTACTGTCTGGCTAAAAACTTTTATTTTTAATACATTTTTGAGATAATTGCTCACTGTGTAGTCCTGACTGTCTTGGAACTTGTTTTCCATATGGAGCTGGCTGGCCTTTAATTTATAGAGAGCCCCTAGCTTCTGCTTCCCAAATTCTGGGATTAAAGGCCTGTGTCACCAAACCCGGAATGTTATACATAGTTTTTATTAAAATACAATTACATCACTTTTCTCCTTCATTTTTCTCCCACCAGTCTCCCATCCTCATGTACACTCACTATAAGCCCTCCCATGCTCCTTTACTCTTGGCACTTAATTTAATTACAGACAAAAAATATCTTTCTGAATAACACCCTTAAGCAGATGAAGATACATTCCTCAAAAGATTTCAACTATGCCTTTGGAAGACATTTTCTGTTTTTCTTTCTTTTCTTTTGTATGAAGAAAGTATCTTCCGCTTCACACAGAACAATTTCAGTAACAAACTTTGCTTTTATTTTCATTCTTTGTTTAAATGACTAGAGAAGAGATGAGGCAACTAATTTTCAAGTCATAAAATGAGCTTTCCTACGTGTAATGTGAAGTGCATGGATTCTGCCCTCAGAAAGGAAGACTAAAGTATTATGTGGAGTACAGTGTGGTCTGGTCTAAGCTGTTGCATTTGGTGCTTTCAGGTAGTACCCTGACTTGAGTGATTCGATTTCCTCCCAAAGGCTATTTGCCACATTTTCAAATGTAAGATACCTCACACTACATTTCTTAAAAACATGTGATCATGCTTTGCCTGCATATATATACATATGCATGATGTGAGTGCCTGATGCCCGGGGAAGCAAGATGAGGCATCACATCTCCTGAAAGTGGATTTACTGAATGCTGTTAACTTTATGTGAGTGATGGGACATAAAAAACTGGTACTCTGCTATGGCAAAAAGTGATACTTGCCCCATCCCTCAAAAATCACACAGAGCTTTGAGACTGACTAGGGAACCGAACTAGACTTCAGAATTTTGAATACAAATCCTGAGTTAGAATTACTCCCTGTTCTGTTTGTTGCAAGTGAATAACCCAGTAAGAACCATGAGGCACAGAGTGAAAAGTAAATCATCAGTTTAGACAAAATAAATATTACCACCTATGAACTTCTAAAATTAAATTAAATGAAAATCACACAGGAATATGGGCATATCAAAACCATATGAAACAAAATGCCAGGTCCAAAAGTCTATCTTACACACCTGACAAACAACTGATGAAACACTCATATGAAATGAGGTAAACCTAACATTGATATGTGGAGACTTATCTACATACATCAGACCTTGTGTCTCATGCATCTGAACTATAGCTCATGATGGCTGTATCTTCTTGACATGACTTACTGGAAATGAAGTTAGATGGAAATAACTCATATGGACTACCCTTGAAACATGTCACCTTGAGATTTTGTCTTGCAAAACTCCTTCAGGATAGGATTCCTTAATATCTAACTACCTCCAATGGCTCTCGTTGCATTTGTATGAGTGTACTGCTCAATCCTTTAGGAAAATTTTGAATCTCATTGACTCTTTAATGGTTTCTTAGCATTTCTGTATCCTGTATGTCATTTGTAACATGAAATGCATAATGAATATTAATAATAGTAGCTAAGATTTGAGGAAAAGTACTTGTCATTTCCAGTGGCCATAATATCAAATACAATTGGGGTAATTGTTGATGTACATACAGCCAACATATTGACATAGCTTATGAATTCATTAATAATAAATTCTGAAGTTGTAGAAATGCATGCGAAATTCTATGCCTTTGTCAATATTTCTAATGTAACATGCTCACAAAATACTAATAAACTTTAGTGTTGAAATATAGATGGAAATGACTAATTTCAAAGGAGAGAAAACACAATAAATCATTATCACTTGTTTAATGGGAAAGATTTAAAGGGGAACTTCAGCTTCTTCACAGAGGGAAGAGAAATAATTTTCCTGATGTTCCTCTTAAGTGTGACTCAAAATCACAAGCTATATATAAAACAATATTGAAACCTCAAAATGATGAAAAACTTTGTCTCTAGCTATGACCATGAAAGGAACAGACTAACAATGAAAAATAAGCAAACAAAACATTTAGACAATAACAATTTGACTCTAACCAAACACACATCAAGTTGGGTTGGAGAAATTGTGACAGTAATCACCTAATGATAAGAGGGTAAAAAATGATCCCAGAATTCTGCCATGCTAAGGATTTAAAGCAATACCCCAATACTATTTACTAGGTTCATGTAAAAAAGATGAGACTTTCATCCTAAAAGCACAAAAATTATATCCCAAGCTCTCTTGTATTCTTAATACTATAAAACCTTCCATCCTATCATATGTAGACAGGCCAATGAGGAAAACATTGTCTTCCAGTTAGCAGTAGTAAAAACTGTCCTACTTCCTCTGATCTTTTTATGTAGAGTTGATCTTCTAAAACAAAATGTTTGAATAAGGCCCAGTTTCATAACACAGCAACAAAATGTTCAGGTTTCTGTCTAGACTCACTAAACATTGAAAGACAAAAAAGTCTCAAGTTGATAAGAAAAATCAATCGATAAATGCTAATATCAAGTTACAAAGAACAGTTAGAATTGGAAAAGAAAGAGTCAGATTCTTCTATAAATTAAGCCAGGAATGCAGAGAGAGAGAGAGAGAGAGAGAGAGAGAGAGAGAGAGAGACACAGAGACAGAGACACAGAGACAGAGAGAGAACACAGAGGTGTTTTGAAAGGCAGAAGAGTAACCCTAGTTACTAGGAAAACCAGACAAAACAGTAGTAGATTTCTCCTAGAAATCATAGAGACAGGCAAAAGTGATACAATAATTTGTTTCCAAATGCTCCAAACGCAGAAATATCAATTATAAATTTTAAATCAAATGAAATTGAGCTCCTTTTCAAATGAAGAAAAGAAATCATATTTTCAGGCCTATGAAAATGGAAATAATAAGTCACTATTAGACTTCCTTGAAAAGACTAGCTAAAGGAATTTCTCTAAATAGAATAAAATTCTAAATCAAGAAATGTTGGACATTAAGAAGGAAAAAATCATATGGGTAAACATGATAGGCTATAAACATGTTGAGCCTTCTCATTTATGTTTGGTAGCTGAAACAAAAATTATAATACCAATGTGCTAATCTGTTGTTTACTTAAAGGAGAATAAATGTTTCAGAATAATATTTTAAATATAGGATAATGAGACATAGAACTCTAAAGCTTTCTACAGCTTTTTAAAATTGGAAAAAATGCTCAAATCAACCTGCTGAATTAAGTCATGAATATATAATTTGACAATGAGAGAAACCATTCAAAAATATGTGCCCCAAAACAATAACTACAAATCAAAATGGAATTCTAAAATGCCATGTATTTCATAAAGAAGCAGAACAAAGAACAAAGAATGTCTGTGGGATACTATCCTGACTGATTATTTATGTGAGAGGAACCAGGTCTCTGTGGGCAGAGCCACCCTTGGGGAGGTGATTGTGAGTCGTGTAAGAAAGTAGACTTAGCAAGCCAGGGAGAAAGTCAATAGCAGCATTCCTCCATGGCCTCAGCTTTAATACCTGCCCTGACTTCCGATACTGATGGACTATAACTTGGAAGTAGAGGGTGAAATAAACACTTATCACAGTAATAGAAACCCTAACTATAAGAGTAGATATTAGTTGTTTTGAGGACCCTCCATAGTGATTTCCATAATATCTAGATTAGTTTCCTTTTGCTACAGACATATTTAAGGCTTTCTTTTCCTCTGTGTCCTGGTTAGCATTTTTATGCTACTTTCAGACATAGTTCCTTAGCTTCTCTCTTGATTTGTAGATTCCCCTTCATTACTGGAGCATTTCCTGCTCCAATAGATTCAATTCCTACACAATACAGAAAAGGCAAGGCAATACTTTTCCATCACTTACTGCCAGTACTGGAGTGGTATGGGGGGAAAGTAGAGTATTATTAGAGAGGTGCAAGGAAGAGAAGGGACAGACTACGGTTTAGAATCATATTGTACTAAGGCATGGAAGAGTGAATAAGAACCATTTACAGAAGGTAATATTTCTAGATTGATTTGCTGAATGTTAGAAATCATAGTCTTGTTGATCTGAGTAAGCTATAATGTGATAGATACTATCTAATTAAAATATAGTCAACTGCTGAATCATGGTTTGTATCAGTTTCCTAGAGTTGATTGCTTAATAGACACATATACACACTAAGTTTTTTAAGGAAAAATTTAAATTAATACAAGTTGATCTGAAGTTTATTGTTATTATTATTAATTTCTTTTTTAAATTGAAAATAGATTCTTTTCTCACACAATGTGTCCATATACTTTCTCCTCAATCTGCTTCTCCCAGGTTTCAAGACTTCCTTCCACTCCCTTCCGGAACCACTCCCTTTTTATTTTATGTTAGAAAAGGACAGATTTCTTAGACTTAACACAACATGACAAAGTAAAATATAATAAGATGAAGCAAAAGCTATGATATCAAAATTGAACACTGATCCCATCTTACCTGCAGGATATAACGAATTTGCTGTTTTGTAAACTCTGACAGCCCCTTAGGAATCAATGACTCAATGTCTTCTGACTGTAAGAAAATGGAATTTATCCATTGAAAGTATCAATATTTTAATCTTATGGGCCACAGTTCCTAGGCTTTTGAGCGAAAAAGCATCTTTGGGAGGATAGCAGAAGATTAGTTTTCAAAGAATAGTTTCTATGAATACCATTTACAGTTTTACCAATTTTCATTTTAAATACTCAATTATATTACACAGACTTGGAAATAATACTAAATTCCAGAGATTTGGGCAACCAGCCAAACATCCTATTTCTGTTTTTAAAATATTTTAGGGCAAGGGCTCAGTGGCATAGTGCTTGGATAACATTGTAAGGCCCTGGCTTTGAAGCCCCAAACCAAACAGGTAGGGAAAAAAGCAATTTAAACCAAATGGTTTCTTTTCTATGTGTGGTGGTACATGCCAATACTCGAAGGACCCAAGTGACTGAAGCAAGAGGAACAAGGCTAGCTTGTGCTACATAATAAGTTCAAGGCCAGGCCATGATATATAGCCAGATCCTGTCTCATTACAGCAAATAATGATTATTGAGTAATAATAATGATATAAAAAATTCAAATTGACTAAAAATATCATCACTGTATTCTCCAAAAATAATTTTGTTTGATGACAGATACATTTGAGAAGCTTAATTTTTAAATTATGAAAACTGTGAAATAAAATTATAGGTAGCATAGGATTTAAAGAAATTTTGCTCAAGGCTACGGTGACTTTTGAGAGATTATGTTGTTGCCACAGCAACACTTGTAAGCTTCAACTAAATTTGAGAGAGAAGCTAAAATAAGTACTTTTCAAAAGCAATTTAAGATTTACAGAATTACTTTAGTGAATGTAGAATAGTGATACATTGAAAACAATAATATATTTTTAAAAAAATGCACAAGAGGTGATTGTTATTTTTATTATAATAAAAACTATTTGAATTTTCTTACAAAATTACAAATGTAATGAAATTAATACTGAAATGTTTTCCACTTAAAGTTTATGCCACACACTATGTGAAGCATAGTAGAAGAAATTGATTTTTTAAATTTTTTGTTTAAATTAAAAACAATCTTACTTTATATACCAATCCCAGTGCCCTCTCCATCCAGGAGGAAGATATTGATTTTTATTGTATATATTGTTTTTTAAAAGCAGTTTTGTGATCAGATAAATTTTAATTATACATTTAACAGTGACAACTTAAATCCTACTAATAATCATAAAACTATTCTTTTGATTATTATATTTGTAGTCATTACAAAGATATAAACACTATTTTACTAACCTGTGTTTTCAGTCTAATAAATATACTAAATAAAAGAATATTATTGGTATCACAATCACAATGTACTTTGTTGTTTATTAAATGTTTTTTGCACTTACTGCATCTGGAGACTCAAAGTCTTGTTTGCTGTAAGAATAACAATAAAAAAAACTTTATGAGAAACGGATTCAGTAATCATATATAAATATGCCTGTTCTACTTGTTTTATATTTTATATATTATAATAGTACTGGTTTAAGTTAAAATTCCAAATAAATATTTTTAAATATCAAAAAAGTGGAACTTTCACTTAAATTAGCTAACCTACTAAAACTAAGTAGTATCTAAGTAAAAAAATAAATAAATTATGAAGAATTAGTACATCATCCATTTTCACCAGCCCATCTGAGGGTAGATATGAAAGCGCTGGACAGCAAATGGCTCTTGGGTTTTCTCTTCTTCTACCTCCTTTTTCTCCCTCTGGTTCTCACTTCCAATTTTGAGTCTAGTTTCCCTCTATAACCGTTTTCATGTTATTCATTCCTTTTTTAATAAAAACACATTTCAAGATAAGGTCAATTAATTTAATCTATGTGTACTAGGAAGATAATGGGGTGAGAACAATATTTGAATCTCCACCAAACAAAGCAAAATGATCAAAATTCTAGTTTGATAATAAAATTTCAAGCAACAAAATGAGTGTTTGGAGAGAAAGGTTGAAAGAGTGTTTTGGGGACCAAATTAAGAAGGCAATTCTTATGGTATTTCCAGTGATTATAGTAGTCTGGTATATGCTCCTGGAGGAATTGTGAAGACTTGGAAGATTACAGTTACAGAATCATCAAGAGAAACAGACTGATAATTATCTTTGTCTAATTGCTTCCTCTGCACACAGTAGAAGAATGAGGTATAAACATGTATGGTGAACATGTCAAACAAACAGAAAAACAGTTATATATGTTATGACAGCAAGACAGAAATAATATTTTAAGGTAAACGAGTTTTAGTACATCAGTCCCTACCTTTATCCTTCATGTAAGTGCTTATGAACAAAATGTTGCTTATAAACAAATGTACTAAAATATTTGACAACTGCAACATCAAGAGAAAAAAGTACCTTCCTCCAATTCTCTCCAAATGTTCTAATAAGCAATGATAAAGGTCTGTATTCTTCCGGCTTAGGTCAGCAAGCAACTCTCCAAAATATTTGGGATCCAATTTCTCAGGACCATCATCCTGAATGATCACCTGAAGTAATATCAATTACAATTATAAACAATATTGTTTTTCTAAGTTGAAAGATATACTGATATGAAATTTTAAAGAATAAAGAATCTATTAAAATCACATGAATTAAACCACTGAATTTTCTATATATCAGATGTGTATATTTTCAGGAGGGGAGGAATCATAAAGAAACTCAAAAAAAAAAAAAGAAAAAAGAAACTCAGCATAGTATTTTCAATTTCATTTCATCCAATTCTAAGTGGTCTAGTGAATACAAAACTTGAGTAATGTTATTTTTTCTTTATTTTATTGAAAATAGGTATTGTTTATACAATATATTCTGATTACAGTTGTCCCTTCTCCAATTCTTCTCAGATTTCCTTCATGTTTTCCCCCATTGGGATAGACACTCTTTTTGTCTCTCCTTAGAAAACAAACAGGCATCTAGCAAATAACAATGAAATAAAATAAGATAAAATGAATTCTATCAAACTGGAATAGGACAAAACTGAAGTTAAAAAGCTTTCAAAAAGCTTAAAATATACATATAGATGCAAAAAAAACACATGGGAAACCCCCTAAGAACAAACAAGAAGAAGCAATAACATATACTCAAAGGAGTCTTTAGTTTAAAAATGAAGAAATAAAAGAAAATGACCTGTCAAAAATCTTAGGAGACAAAGAAACTCCAAAGATGCTATTGAGTACATTTTGTGTTGGCCATCTACTGCTGGGCATGGGGCCTAGAGTTAAGAAAGGTTTGTATCCCCATTGGGACTCCCTTTGAGAAAACTGATTCTTTTGATTTGCAAGTGGTTATTAACCAGACACAGCTTCTGGGTTAGGAATTGTGGCTTGTGTCCATGTCTTCTCTGAGCACTGAGATCCCACCTGGCGTAAAAATATGCAGGCCCTGTGCATGCTGCCACTTTCTCTGTGAGTTCATATGTGTGTCAGTCCTGCTGTGTTTAGTGTTTTCCATCCCCTCTGGAGTAACATTCAATTCTTGAATATAATTGCTTAAATAAAACAGTACAATAAATAAATATATCAGTTTCTAATTATCACCACATTTCATTTTTCTTAATTTTATAATTTGTGTGTGTGTGTATGAGTGGGTTTGTATATGCCTTTGAAGGTCAAAAACATTGTCAAATCACTTGAGCTGGAGTTACAGGCCCTGAGTTGTGAGCTACCTAACACAGATGATGGGAATCAAACTTAGGTCCTCTACAAGAGCAGTCCATGTTCTTAACTTTTGAGCCATCTCTCCAGTCCACCTTATTTCTTTCCTATCTACCTATTGTAAGTAAATAAAATGTGAATTATTTCAATTATGCTGAGTATAGAAGAATTACTATTATCACTTAAATGAAAGTCCATTTGATTTGATTTATTAGTATATATTAAAATTAGACTAAATGAAACTGTTCAATCCAAGGTCCTTTACATTCTTTATCTAAATTTTTCACTTTTTATTGGGATTGAATATCTAGTCAATCAAATATGGAAAAGTAGCTAGCAGAAAATTGAAAAAAAATTAAGAGACATGAAAAATATTTAAATTCTCTGATACAAAGTATTATGACTACTGTCCTAACTCAAGACATATTTTATTGGCCTCATTTCTTTGCTATTAATCTTTCTGATACTGTTGGCCACCTTGTCTATCATCCAAAGATTCACTGCCTGGAGAGCAACAGCTTAGGTCATACTCTAAAGTGTCTTTATTTTGAACATGGAATGAAGAAATAAGTAGTTCAAATTTGAACGTTGATACTTCTTTTTCAGCCTTTCTGCTGAATGAATACCCTAAAAGTCCATGCATACAGAGACAAATGGAAGGACCAGAAATCAAGCAAAGGACAGGCACTCACAACCCCATCTGTATTAAGAAAATCAGTTTATGAAACACAGTTCAGCAAAAAATAAATGCTGGACACAAACCACAGTATATTTTCATCATAGTTGTATAATATTCATAGGCCATAGACATTCTTTGGGGACCACTCTTCTTCATGAGAGCTCTCTATTTTCCTTAATAAATCTGATTTCCTTAAAGGAATGTAGATTCCAGTTTTGAAAAGTCTGGAATAGATGACTCAGATGTCTCAAATTAAAAATCAGAAATACTCTGTTAAAACAAAGAAAGAAATCAGAGCCACTGAGATCATTCAGTGGGTAAAGGTATTTGCCTCCAAGCCCAGTAGCCTAGATACAATCCCCATGACCCACATGGTTGCACAAGAGAATAAATTCTTAAGAACTGTCCTCTGACCTCCATGTGTGTTCCTGTGGCATGTGTCTCTACAAATAAGTAAATACATACATAAATGTTAAAAGAAAAAAAGGAAGAAGAAAAGATAGGGTGAATGTTCTACAATGCTAGTTATGTTGACAATATACATTCATTTTATACTACTTTTAGGACTTCCTCACTCAATCTTAATGAACCATGTTAACACTTCAACCTAGTATGTCTCCATGTTGTGCACCTTCCTTTCATTCAGATCAAACAACTGACTATTCTCTCCCTCGATTGTTTCTTTACTCTGTGTGTGTCTGTATGTGTGTGATACATATGTGTGCTCATGTGTGTGAGGCCTTCTATGGGGGATCATCAAAGTCTGTCACATCATTTGGGGCCTCCCCTGTGTCTAGGCTGAGAGGGTATCCCTCTATGGGGAATGGGCTCCCAATGTCCATTTGTACACTAGGTATAAATGCTGTTCCATTACCATGGGCCCCATAGACTGCCCAGGCCCCCTGACACCCAATTACAGGGGGCCTGGTTTAGTCCTATATTGGTTTACCAGCTGTTAGTCTGGGGGTCATGAGCTCCCCCTTGTTCAGATCAGCTGTTTCTTTGGGTTTCCCCAGCAGCATTTCTCATCACTTCTTCCTCTCTCTACAACTGGATTTGAGGAATTCATCTCAGTGCTTAGCTGTGGGTCTCTTCTTCTGTTTTGATCAATTACTTAGTGAAGGCTCCAGGATGACATATAAGGTAGTCATCAATCTCATTATAGGGGAAGGGCATTTAAGGTAGCCTCTCCCCTATTGCTTAGATTCTTAGTTGGGGTCATCCTAGTGTATCTCTGTACATTTCCCTAGTGCTATATTTCACTTTAAACCTGTATGGTTCCCTTTTTTTAAGGTATCTCCTTTCTTGCTCTCCTCTATTTTTCCCCCGACTCAGTTTTTAAAGAGTTCAATTTGCATCCGGTCTGCAATGTTTTCAGATTTTTCCAACTACATGTCACATCTGTAGGGGACTTGTGAATACCAAGGCCTTCCTTTGTCCATGTTCTTTGTACACCTCATTGTTATCCTCATAAAGTACCAATCAGACAGTAAAACTTTATATAAGAAAACATAAACATAATTTCACAAAGGTACATTGAAATCACAAGTGTAAATAATGAAGCTGAAGCATATACATTAGTCATATAAATATGATGATTATTTTCTAAGTAGATAATAATATCAGCCTGCCACATATATTATCAGCTTAACTATGAGGGAATGGATATCACTACAAAATTGTTGCTTCTAGCCAAAATTTTGAAACCTATAATCCTGCTTCCTTCTTTAAAAATTTTCCTTTATACCAGTCTTATTGTTATTAATCTAATTATGCTTTATTATTTTCAGAAATTTCCTCCATGACATTTTTACATGTTTTCATAGTTTATGGAAATCTTCCTTCATGTATTTCTTCTAGACTTTCTGTCAATTTTGTGAGGTAAATATAACTATTAAAATTTAATGAAGGAGAATGTTACAGAGATATTTGATATTAAGATAAATAGGTTAAAATATAAAGTGCTGGAGATGAAACTTCTTACCCTGAAGCTGATTTAGATTATTACATCACCAATCTCTCTCCAGTGTCAAAATGTTCTTACCTTTTGTATGAAATTTGGATCTAATACATGCTAAATGTATAAGTCTATACAAGTAACTTAACTTCCTCAAACTTTAGTTTCCTTATGTGTACAAAAGACAATAATAATATCATCCCAATATGATCATTATGAGAAGAATATTTAGCAATATGCTAGTCTATTTGGCACAAAGCTACCATAGTTAACCTTCTAAAGTACTGCATTTAAGACTTCCTGACATAGCTTTAATGAACCATGTTGACACTTCAACCTAGTATGTCCTTCTTGTGTACCTTGCACTTTATTCAGATCAATCAACTGACTATTCTTGCTCTTGATTATTTCTTTACTCTGTGTGTGTCTGTGTCTGCATGTGTGTGATACATGTGTCCTCATGTGTGTAAATGTGCCCCATATGTGCCACTGCATACACTTATACATCAGAGGAAAACCTAAGTGTAAGATCTTGCATTCCACCATGTTTGAAAAATGGCTATCAAGTATTTGCCAGTGCATATATCAATCTACCTGGCCCGCATGCTTCCAGGGATTCTCCTACCTGCCTCTTGTCTTGCCTTAGGAGCACTGGGATTACAGATGTACACACTATTACCTGGCTTCACAGTTCTAGGGATCTGAACTAAGATGTTCATGCTTGCATGGGAAATGCTTTAGACACCTGCTGAGTTATTTCCACAGCCCATCTAAATTTTGAGACAAAATATACTTCTCCAAATATGTAATATTATCTAGATGATTTTTTCTTCCTTAGCCATTGTCTCCATGTAACACCATGATATCAAATGTGGAAAAACTGCTCATTTTTCAAAGTCATTTCCCACTTCCTGAAAACACTCTTGATCTCCCAGTTGAAATTGATTTTTTTTCCTCCCCCAAACGTTTGTTCTGTCTTAAGGAAGATGCCAGAATTTTGGTTTACATTACATTTTAGATGCTTCCACTTTCCTCTATTAGAGGAAACCGAGGCGAAGCAAAATTAATGATTAAACTGAAATGTGCAGAAGTATTTCTATATGATCAATTATGACCTATAAAATAATAATTTCAAATTATTTGATCTAATAACATGGCTACTTTTATCATCACGAATCCATGTAAGAAATTTCATGCACTACTATAGAGGCTAATGTTTCCATGCAGACAGTCAGAGGAAAGATAATTTTAGGCTGTTTTATATAGGAAAAACATGACTTTTAAATTATTTCTAGTCATATGTTTTAACAATATGACCCAAGTGTGCAATTCTAAGTATCAGAAATAATCCCATGTGTATTTAATATAAAAACTATTCTAATTCCTGTATTGGAACCTACTTTTCTTTTTAATTTCCTTTTAATGATTTCCTTTCTTTTTCTTTTACCTTCTCCAAAGAGTTGTCTATAAGAGAGGTCAATTTGAAATTGGAGTAAGCACAGTTACCTTGTCATTATTTCTGTCATTATCATTAGTTTTTACCAGATCGAAGAAAATCTTTTTTTTTCCTATTATCACTTGTGCAGCAGATGTTTAGAAGACTCCAAAGTCTTCACAACATAAATTAATCACTCAAGATTGTATCCAGGGAGGTTTCTCCTTGGCAACTAAGTTTTGGTTTCTATTTTCTTATAATACACAATAAAGTATAAGTATATTTTGACTTGAAATAGAATAATGTATTCTCAAACAATATATACAGCAACTAATTAACTAATTACCATCTTGTGAAATGATATCATTAACAATCATCTCAGATGATAACATTTGCAACTCCTTGTTCATTTGAATATTATATCTCATGAAAATGTGTAACACTGAACAACTGTTTGGTTTCATTTCTAAGGATCAGTTATAAGTTACAATTAAATATTCATGAATCAAGTCATAACTTCATACATTTAGTTTATGAACATGAATGATTTTGTCTGTTGAGAGGATTCTGGATAGTTGTTTTCAAAATGTTGTACAAACTAATACCAGGCGTGAATTAGCCAGGGAAATTTTGGAGAGCTCATCTAGTGGTGAGAACAAGGGAGAACTGACTGCTGCTAGGTATAGAATCAGGGTTATGTCTTAGGCTACCCCAACATCCACCCCATCTATGGTCTGCTGGAACATATGAAGGGGTCTGACCCATACCCAAAGCTGCAGGATCTCCACAGAACAGGGTAACAACTGGATATCCAAGAAAAGTCTCAGTGAGGGCCCAACCAGAGGCCTCAAACAAGACCAATGACTCTTCGCAACAAACACTTGCAAGTAAAGCTCTATGGACAAGGGAGTTCATGGTGGGACTCAGAGTGTCACACTGACAAGATTTTTTCTCTCTTTTTCCTTTTTTCTCTTAAATTTTCTTTTATTGGGGGGTTGCAATGGCAGAGGATGGATGTGAAGGGACAAGGAAATTAATGGCATAATTCCACCACTGGCATAATTCCTCAATGTTTGAATGGAAATTTAATATGAGTGTTAGAATACTACTCTAAGAAATGTTCACAAACTTTGCTAAGCATTCAGCTTATTGATCTTACCTGTTCATGTATCTGGCTTTGCCCACCATGACAGTGTTCATGCCCAATATTTGACTCATTTTCTGTTATATACTGGATTTGATGGCTAGAATGAGACTGTTGACAATGTGGAGAATGGATGATCTGGGGTTGCTGGATGACATGATGATGGCATTGTATTTGAGGACAACATTCCTAAAACACATATCAAAAATAGCCACCTAAAATCAGAACTACTATGAATCAATAAAAATTTTAAAACAAATTTGAAAACCACAATGTGTCTTTCATAAAATAATTAAATATGTGTAATATGCATTGATATTTATTTAATTTATACATTGAGAAATTTTTATTGAATTATGCTTTTATTTGTTCAGTAGTCATGACTATCAAATTACTTACCTAGGTATGCCATAGAATTACAAATGTCTAATTAAATATTCTAGTTGTACTTAATCCTAAAATTATTATGAATATTGATTAAACTTTCTTTGATGATTCAACAGGTACTGCAACACCTAATTACATAATAATCATATGATGCTGAACATGTGAAAGAATTTTAAATTAGGAAATAATGCAATAGAGTGATTTTCAATATCAGGAAGGATACTTGTCTCCTTATTGAGGAAGCAATGACCTTATACTTACGAAAATTGAGAAGAGTTTTTTTTTTCAAACACTGAAAACCACTGATTGGTGATTTTAATCTGGAAAATGTAAGATCTTGCTTTCATCTACCAGATACTCTTACTCAAATATTGCTTTCATCGACTTGCTGTGTGGAGTAAATGATTTGTCTGTAAATTTTGTACTAAAAACTAAGTGAGGGATAAATGTGTATCACAATTATTATATCAGTGTTGATACCATAATTCAATTTTATTATCATCTATTTCATTGAATTTGAACATAGTAATAGTACTCTCCCAATGATGACAAAATTAAGATGATGTATTTCTAGTGACAAAACTAATTAATGACAAGATGTGACTGGAATTCATGACTTGTACCTCAGACTCTAAGGGTGGGGCTTTGTTTATATCAACTCTGAGAAAATCTGGAATTTGCTTTTAAACACAATGCACCTGCTTGTTTATGTCATGACTTTTTCTTAGAAGTACAGTAAAGAAACTAATATTTACATATATCGCGTGTGTTTACTTCAGGTATATTTGAACATGCCTATAGTATGTTGTTATTATTCTGCTTTGAAAGGAGCCTGCAAAAAGTCTGCTTTTCAAGAAAGATCACTCATGTTTTTGGTCATAATGTTACAGTCACTCAAATATAGTCAAGTTTGAAAATTTAAGTTCGGTGTAAATTTTCTTTTTGAAAATAAAATTTTGACTTTTATTGAAAAGTAATGTGATCCAACAGTTTAGACTCTTGTTTCATCCAAGTGTTTTTTCTCTGCTTTAACATATAAAATAATCCACAGATATTATATGTATCTTGCATATGAATAGAGTGATAAACTTCCAAGACTGGTTATTTGAAGAAACAAAACAAAACAAATCAAAACAAAAACTAGACACATGAAAACCCAGCTAGAGAAGTCATTTGTCAGTAATATTATTAGCATTGTTTTAATATTCTTTTTATACTCTGAAACTGCTTACTCTATATGAATTGCTTTTTAGGTTCATAAGTTATTTTGAAATAAAGAAAAATACATGAGGAAGCATATATTATGAATAGCAACTACCTCGGTAAATATATGAAGGTCATAGAAACAGTTCTTGGCATTCCTTTCTCTAGACTCATTTTACAAAGATGATAACACTGAGATCTTTACATTTTAGAAAACTAACTACATGTTTTAATAACCTTTGCTACAAATGTGACAGATAAATATATTATCTGTAGTTTCATGTTATAAGATGTCGCCATGTAGTGTTCAGACTTTAAAGAAGTATCTTTACTATTTTCAGTCTTGGTGTTAAGATGGAAGCCAGAGATTCATATACTCAAGTGCTTTACAGCCCCACTTCTTATATTCAACTACCAAAGTTATTGTTTTAATGGAAAATATTCATATGGGGATCATGTTTTGACGTATATCATAATCTAAACTTTAAAGCAGAAAATATCAAACAATTATGATCTATCAGAGGTCACTTCTTTAGATAGAGAGGGAAAGAGTCATAATACAATTATCTTACAACTGGCACTACTTTACGAACGTTTTACTACAAAGGCCTCTTTTTTTCTTGGATAAGTCTAATTTCAGTACTAGTTGTATTTGGTCAGTTACTAGGGCCAGCAAATTGCTTCCTTTGGGCCTTACCTTTGTCTAGCATGACATAGTATAGCCCCTATCACCGAGGAAACAACAAAACAACGAATTATCTTTGTTCCACTTGCACAGGTAATTATAACTGGACAGTTTGTGTAGCAGTTATAAAACTCACAAATCAGTAAAATTATTAAATTATGATATCAAGAATAAGCAAAAGCTCTGTTCTTAAAATTCTCTTTCTTGCTTCAGCTGTATGAGTGCTAAGACATGAAGATTATATTTTTTTATTAATTTATTTTTTATTTTTATTTTACATATCGATCCCAGTTCCCTCTCCCTCCATCCCTCCCTCCCTTTCCCTTCCCTCTCTCCTACCGTCACATGCACCTTGACCACCCTTCCCTCCACGCTCCACATGTAGGGTGATGCCCTCCAGGAGGGGTCATCTAAATCTGCCATTTGTAGTAGGGACTAGGACTTCTCTCCTGTCTCTAGGTTAAGGGAGTATCCCTCCATGGGGGATTTGCCCCCAAAGTCCTTCTGTGCACCAGGAATACATCCTGGTTCCACTGTCTGAGGTCCCTTAGACTTCTCAGGCCTTCTAGGTCTGAGTCAGTCCCATGCTGGATTCTCAGCTATCAGTCTGGGAGCATGAGGATTATATTCTAGAGGCTATAAAATGGAAAAGCTATTCATTCTCATTAAAACAGTAACCTGAAAGCAGCATTAAATGATGTACCCCTAAATACTCCTTACTACTTAAAATGTGTGAACCATCATTTTTGATAGCTATGCTGAATAAATATAAATGTAATTTGATAGCTTTAGAAAGTATCACTTGGAAGATCAGAAACATCCAGTGAAGTTTTTCTACTTGATATAATAACGTTGGGCTCTTTTTCTGGAACACTTGTGTTTAATGCCTCAGATCTTCAGACACTATTCGGTTTAACAAGCAAACCAAAAGTAGGCATTTTGATGGTTATAATTCTGAAAATTTATGTAATTTCATTTTTACTAGGCATAAAAGAAGGAATAACATGTTATTCCCTACAAGTCTACAAACAACTGCCAATAAGTACTTATAAAAATAGAGCATACTCTCATGCCAAGAAGTTTTAAAACAAAATCCAATGCATTTGCAGTGTTTCATTTATAAATGATAAAATAATTTTGTTATCCAAACTGATTTTATAATATTTAACTGCCTATTATGCACAGAATTGTTACCCATACTTCAAATTCATAGTGATGTTCTAAGTCTCAGTAATACAACATTTGCTTTTCTTTAAAATATGGTCTTTTCAGATAGAAACAATTTGGAGTGGGATCAATTTAATAGGGTGGGATCCAATCCAATATGACCAATGTCCTTATAAAAAATGAGAAATTTCACACAGAGACAGCCATGCAGAGAGGGATGTTGATATGAAGATGCATATGTAGGGTACCACGTGATAACAGGGGAGTTGGAATGTAATGACACAATCAAAAGAATGCTTGAGACTTCCACAAATTAAGCTGACAATGAAAAGGATTCCTTCCCTGAGAATTCTAGAAGTATGGTGGTCTTGTTCTACACAGCAGTTTTTTATTTTTGCTTTATAAAATTGTGAGACAATATAATTCTTTCTCTTTGAAGCACCTAACTAAAATGCTAAAGCTTCAGTTTTCTTTACCTTTCAGAATATTTTACCTATTGTTAATGCATACTGTTCATTTAAGTCTGAGAACATTAACATAATTAAGACATTATAGCCTTTAATATTATTTTTTATAAATCAGTTTAAAAGAAAATATATAACATATATTAAGTAAGTTTCTACCATTAACTTTTCTATGACTCCATATTCCCTTTCAGTAAAATGTGCTTCACAGTAAAATAAATATAAAAATATTAAAGAAAGCATGAAAACCCATAGACATGATGACACAGTACAACTCACATTAGTCTTGCCTGGTACTTGATAATTGAGTTACTATTTTAGTTCTATTAAAATATTCATAATTAAAAATCTGTACTTGTAAAAAACTTACCTGATCTGTATTTAGCTTCTCCACTTTTCTTATTGTTTTTTCATAAATTACATTGTTTCCTGGGAAGAAGTGACCTCCTCTTAGGAAAGGAGACAAGGGTTCCTAATAAGAAATTAAATACCATGTTTTGATTTAAAAGGTGTAGTTTTCATAGGAACCCCAACACACATCTAATAAGCTCTGAGGCAGCAAGAGATTTTAGGAAGATAATGGAATGTTTCATCAATAAGCTTCCAGGAGAAGGAAATAATAAGAATGATTTGAATCCATTTTATTTTTCCTAGTTCTCTGGGGGGGGGAGAGTTGAAGGAAGTAGGAAGGATAGCATTTGTCTTTCTGAATGAGAAGGAAGAAGCAGATCAGGTTTAAAGTTCTTCTCAATCCATTGGCTCTAAGGCAGGACACAGTAAGTTTCTTCTAATGAAGTCTAGCATGAGGTCAACAGCATTTAAACTGGAGTCAGGGGCAGGTTTCTTTCTACACAAAGTAATTATTAGAGAAATTTACAATAAATATAAATCAGTCCTACTAAGTGATAAAGTAGTTAGAACTTCATCAAAGTGTTTCCTAGGAACAATTTACATGTCACTGAAGTGTACAATTTCTATTTGTAATTGTATTTAAGGCTAAGATTCTCAGTACAAGATATGTTTTAAGAACTGAGGGCAGAAGCTTTAAGAAACACTGTATTTCTGTATCATCAACTATATCAACTAAATTGTTGTAGTATTGGACAAGTTCTTAGAAGATGTCAGTCAGAGAAATAAAGTCCTGTGATATGTCTTAGATGGAAAGATTAATAAAAAATCAGATGAGGAGCCCAAAATCAATATAATGTGCATCACATTCTTTTTCTCCACTTTTATTTTCTTTTTGAGAATGAGTCTCACTAAAGCCCTGGATGCCCTGGAACTCTCTATGCAGGACTTCCTTGCCTTGAACTCAAGTATCTGCTTACCTCTGACTCCAAGTGCCAGGGAATTCAAGATGAGTGCCACCATACCCAGTTTCCCCCTTCTTCTGATTTTGAGTCATGAGGTTGTTTAATTCATTGATTTGTCAAGAAACAAAGCTGTATTCGTTTGTTTTTAATGTACTTTTAGTAAATGAAAATGCTACTATACAGCAGAAATCATTGATTGAAAAATACTGTAATTTCTCTCAGCTCTTAGGCTAACTGGCCTAAAAGACTGATTTTTAAGAAGGGGAGAAATTCTGCAGCTCAAGTCTGCAGATCCAGATTTCTCAATGAACAGATTAGAAGTGATGGTTATGATCACACAATTACTCAAAAAAAAAAAAAAAAAAACCAACCAACCAACCAACCAAACAAACAAACAAAAACAAAACTAGAAGTAGGAAAGTGTCACAAAGTTTTAGAATAAAGGCAGGAAAAAAATCATTGAAATTAGAGGGAGATTTTTTTTCAGCAAATTAGTAATAAATTGAACACAAAAATGCTTCAGAGACATCAATGGGTGAGAATTAAAAAGCAAATTAGATTTTAGCTGCTGTGAACTCATTGATTCTGACTTAAAAATATCAATGGAAGCAGGCTTAATGGAAAAGAAAGACGATGTCATGAAGCATGAGTTAACAGTTCTTTATCATCTTTACTTAGGTAAGGCATTAATGTGAGTTCAGAGTGCTTATCACAAGGATCAAGTGAAATAATGTATTTTAACATTTTTGTACATTGACTTAATATATAGTATCATAATATTTTACTATGTTAAATGGTGTGTGAGAATTTTGTCATAATATTTCTAGGACAATAATTTAACTTATAGAAAACACAGCTTGGAGGGTAAAGAAAATATTGACTCTTCATATTCAATAGGTAAACCAATAACTGAATAAGAAAGTAACACTTATCTTCATATTTAGAATTTTCTAAAAGAGGAAAACAAATAAGGAGATTTTCTTCTCTAAGAAATATAGCTCATCTTAAATATTTGTCTATTACTAGTGTTTTTTAAGAACAAAGAAGCTAAGATTTATGAACTACTGATTCTCTTTAGAGTATATTTTGGTTTTCCTGATGAAATGACAGTTTTAAAAACTCATCCAAATTTAGATTATTGCTTTCTAAAATCTATAAGAAAGTAAAAATAAAATATTCTTTTGAATAATTACTGTAGAAAAATGAATCGGCTAAAACCTTTAATCAGGCATTTTAGAGATCTTAACTGTTGAGCTCAAAAGTTTTACTGCTTTGGTATCTTCTTTTCTTCAGTGTCTACATTTGATTTGGTGCCAAGTCCACCCTAAAAATTAGCAGGTGTTTTCAAAATGGTTGATGTTATAATTTTAATTGTTACTTTCAAAACCTCTGGCAGTAGTTCTCACATTTAACAAACTGTGTAATTCGCAACATGTATTGCACTGTTCCCAGGCCACAAAGCTATAATGGAGAAACATTTAAAAAAAAAAAAAAAGAGGAAACATTTGTTCATTACAAGTTAAAGTTATTCAGCTTCAAGTATTGCCTCCAAGCTTTATGATCACAATTGGATTAATTAAATTATTTAACTATGGTTTCAAAGCCTTTTATCTTCCACAACCCTGTCTTTATGTTCCCTTATCCATTTCCTTTTGAAGAAAATCAAATTAACTTAGTTAATGTGATCTCACCATGTTTCTCTACACTGCAAAAAACTACTCTCTTCATTCTGCTCCTTCCAGCTCATCAAAGAGGAATTAACACCTTTGTTTTCCTAAAGTTACATCTCTACATGTACCTGAAATTTTATACCCCTTTTCCCCCTTCAGAACCTTATCTCATTTGTCTCCTTACTCTATTGCATCATTATCCTTACCTGGTACTGATTCATTCTGTCTGTAAATCTCTGAGGGTCTCCAAGATTCAGCTTTCTCCTCTAATGATACTTTTTCTCTTGCCTTTCACCAATATCCTTTTCAGAAAGGCACCCCCACTTAACTTTTTCCAGTTCCCTTTCAAAAGTCCATGCACTAACTTCCTGCATCTGGACTTTGCTTCAACAAATATATTGAAACTGTTGTTTTAAATACCACTGTCACTTTCTTAACTGTCAAAGCTCATTCTCCTATCTATTGTCCTTAGCTTTATGTTGATTTGATGTAGTTAGGTAATGCTTTCCTATATTTGCTTCAGTTGCTGTTTTAACAACTTTCCCTGAGACCCATTTTCTGACAATGGGTCCTTATTTCTGTTCCCTTGAAATAGCTATTTCTCGAGTTTTTTACCTTAACCCTCTTCAATACCCCACAGCAATCACACTCATGCCTTTACCTTTGACAATAAACTTTAGATATCAACTCTCCTACTTATATCTCAAATATGACATTTAGCTCTGCCATTAGTATTTACTAGGTACCCTCTCCATCATACACCTCAGATCCCACTTTATCAAGCAGATATAATGACATTTCCTCTTAATAAACCAACTTTTGCCCACTGTTTCATATTTTTTCTCTGTTGGGCCATCATAAACTTACCAGGCCTTGAGGCCCACATTTAAATTTTCTTCTGTCAGTCTTCCTAGCCTAAATTAACTGTCAGAAAAGAGAAATATTTATGAAGACCTGAACAAAGCTACTTATATAAATTTGTTTTCTTATTAGTATGATGATTCTAACATCATGTGAATTGTATCATTATATTATATGTCAAAACAAATCTTTCCTTGAATTTCCACAAATAGCAAATGTATTATCTGAAGTCAAACTGGTCCTCAGTTAGTGGAACTCTTTGAGAAGGATTCAAAAGGTGATCTTGTTTGAGGAATTGTGTCACTAGAGATGAGCTTTGAGATTTCAGAAGACCACACCATTCCCACCAATCCCAGCTAGCCCCACCCCCAGCTCTCTCTCTACTGCTCCTGTCCTGTGCTATACCTGTCTGCCTGTTGTCATACTTCCTGCCACTATGGCTATGGACTTTTCTTTTAATGTTGCCTTGGTCATAGCATCTCATAATGGCAATAAAAAAGTAACTAAAATGCGAATTGGTACCAGTGAGCGGACTATTGCTGTAACATGTCTAACCGTCATGGTTCATTTTTTTTTTTTTGTCCTTTTTTGAAGGAAAGTAGAAAACTTTGAGACTTTGAACTAGAAAAGTGGTTGAATGCTGTAAGTGGAGGATATTGGAAGACAATAAGGCTTAGAGCAATGTGGACTATGCTGGCCAAAATCAACTGGTTTCAGAGGTGAACAAAATTAGCAACTAGGCTTACAACAGTTCTTGTTACAATTTATCAAAGAAGGCAGCTGCATTTTGCCCTTGTGTTAAGAATGTGCCTGAGGGAAAACTGAAGAGTTTCAGACTACTTTTGCTGGTAGAGAAGATTTCAATATAGTCAAGCATTGACTGTGTAATGTGATTATGATTTTTCACTCTTACGCAGATCTAAAATGAAAAAGGGCCAGCGTGACAAAAAGAAATACAAAATGTACAATTGGAGGAGAAAAAGAACACTAGGATATGTAATGTTGGAGCCTTAGTTTGTGATGAAAGATAAGGAGAAATATAATAAAGATAGTGATAGCCTCATGGCAAGACCCCAGCCAGTTTTAAGCTCTGAGCAATTGCTCTAGCATCAGGCCTGCCTGCTTGTTGCAATGCTCCCTACCATGATGGTCATAGATTTTTTTTAACCCTCTGACACTGTAAATAAGACTCAAATTAGATACATTCTTTTATAAGTTTCCTAGTCACACCATTTTGTCATGTCAACAGAAAAATAACTAAGACATTTGCATTACTCCACTAGTATCTACCACTCACTCCACCATGTATTTTCCAATGTATTTTACACAGCTATTTGCGGACATGCCTTACTTTCTACACTAAAAGCAAATGTAAGCACCTTTGGTTTAAGTAAAATGCCTTATTTCCTTATTCCTATTTGAAGGCTATAGAGCAACAGACTCAACCTGTGTGTTTCAGCACCTATAGGGTCATGTATTTCTGATGGTTTTAGGAACTGAGATTACTCCTTTATAGTGACCAGGTCTGTCTGCCAACATGAAGATAGTCCCACACACCAGTGCACAACTGTATTTATTAAATGTCACAGAATTAGGAAGCTTGAGAACCACTACTATAGGATATCTTCTAAATATCAGGAGTATCACAATGAGAAACTTAGTGAAACTGATAGATATCATTAAATTTCATCTACTAATGAAACAAATGTGTTTTCTTCATTTTTGGATAAAAATATAAATCATCATATATAAATCCTATGACTACAATGACAAATTGAGAATAAGGAAAATCAGAAACAACTACAAAAAGACTGAATAAAAATAGAAGGAATTGTAACTAGACAAATGGTTGTTTGGGGTCAGTTTAATTCAAGGAGAAGAAATAAAGCTAGGAGGTGAAAGAGGATGAGGCTAACATTTAAGAGCCTCAACTTATTGTACACTTTACAAAAACTAAATCTCCTGGAGAGATCTAAAAGTGCAAAACATAAAAGAAATATACTTACAAAGAAAACATATTAAAGCTATTTTGCAAAAACAGGTTAATTTTGTTTACAAAGCATGTGGCCATTTCTCTTCATTCTCATGTTAGATTTTCCTGAGAAAATGTATTTCTACATGGACTGAGATAATGAGTTCTTAGAGAAGTAAACCTATTGTCCGTAATATGCCCTTAATTATACACATAAAGATACATATACATCATATTACCAGAAACAAGTAAATATACCTATATAAGTATAAGGATGTGCTGATATTTTGTTTATGGTCTAACAAATAAAGCTTGCTTGAAGATCAGAGTGCAGAGCTAGCCAGACTAGTTAGCCATAGAGGCCAAGCAGTGGTGGTACACACCTTTAATCCTGGTAACTGGGAGACAGAGGCAGACAGATTTATGTTAGGTCAAGGTCACAGTGGTCTACATGAAATTGATGCAGTCTAAAAGAGAACAGAGCTCACACAAAAGTGGTCCTAGCACTTGGGATCACACGTTTTTAAACACAACACCAGGGAGGTGGAGACAGGAGTGATATGGCTAGGTGGAGAGAGGAATATAAAGTGGGAGAAGACTGGAACTCAGTGCAGTCTGAGCAGCAGTCAGTCTGAAGAGGCAGTCTGATGACAGTATCACCACTTTGGTCTGAGCATTGGTAGAGGTAAGAGTTTGTGACTCTGCTTCTCTGATCCATAAGCTTTCATCCCCTGATAGCTGACTCAGAGTTTTAGTATTAAGACCAGAGAATTCATGCTACACAAGGACACCAACCATATGGGTAAAAACAACAGCAAAAAATCCCCCAAACAAACAAAACAGATCAGATGTATGTGAGTACATAATATACCAAAAAAAAATCTGTCTTTTTACGAAGCCAATATTATAGGCTGAATTCAGCTAGCATGCACTAAACTCCTGACACAAGATTGAGACAAGAAGCAGAAGAGGGAAAAGGGCAGAAAACATGTTTTTCCCACTTGTCCAGACACCTTGCCCCTGTTTTCAGACTTGTTGCTTTAATATTTGATTATGCAAAAGAAGGAGCATGCAACTGCTTTAACTATAATCACATCCTCTTTCTATGTTTACACAAATTTATGAAAACTCAAGCAAATATCCAAAGCAAGCATCACCTTACTCAGATCCTGTGTGTACACAAATACATGCAGATATGCATGCACAACTAGCACCTTCCTTACTAAGGATACACAAGAACATGATTTTAATAAGTAAATTTAAAAAGAGGAGGTGGAATACATAGTAGTAGAAGTATGTCCTCTACACCATCTGGATTAGTAGCAAACATGAGACTCTACATAAACCCCTTTCTTATTACACATGGAATAAGTAATTATCTTTCCACAGAGGGAAAGACTGTCTACCACTATAGTGGATAAATGAAGAGTAAAGGGAAGAATGCCATATCTCTATACATACCACAGTGTTTCTTACTGAGAGACTGATGCCTTAAAATGACAAAATATTCTGTTGCCACTCTAGTTGTATGTGTGTATGCATATGTGTGTGTATTAAGAAAGGTTTATTGTTACAGAAAAATATTTTCTTGCTGAACACTGGTGACACACACCTTTAATCCCAGCACTAAGGAGGCAGAGGCAGGCAGATCTTTGTGAGTTCAAGGCCAGCCTGGTTTACAGTGCTAGTTCCAGGACAGGCTCCAAAGCAGCACAGAGAAACCCTGCCTTGAAAAACAAAAAAACAAAAACAAAAAAAACCCCGTTTTCTTAATTTTCTTCTCAAATTAGACAGAGAATAATACTTACTTTGTAAAACATAAGGTTATATATCTTACTTTGAAATATAATAATATAAATTTCAAATAGCTCATTAGTAAGTTCATAATTCATACATCACAAGCTATAAGCACATGAAAACATATTTGAGCTATTGAATTTTAACTTTCTTCTTCCTGGTCCACATCTGAAAAACAAATACATATACACTAAACCTTCTAACTTCTGGTGTTATGGTTGGTAGATTTTATGGGAAGCCTGTAAAGACCTTTGTCCCTTTTCTGTCTAGTTCAAAGTGCACAAAAGTCCCTTGCAGTACTAGGGTGGGGCTATAGAAAGGAAAGGATTATAACAGCTAAGCTGCTTGGAGTTTTTGTTTCACTATATCAGAACGTATCAATTCAAGACTACCTGAAATTAAAAGTAGAGTTTTATACTAATGATTGGAAGTCCAGTTTTTAAATTGGAAGATAGGACAGAAATCTGTATTTATGAATCTGGTAACTGACTCATCCACTGGAAAAAGAAAAAAAGAGATCCCATGACACCTTACCTGTTCAGGGTTTTGTACTATGTATCTCCTAATGGTAGTTTGTGGATATGTAGTAACTTTCACTGTTGGAGAATGGAGTTCCTGTGAAGAAAAGTTAAATCCATATAACTACATAAAATTTTATTATTTGGTAACTTGAAGCCATCAATAATAAGGAACAATTTTCATAGTGAACATTATACAGTCATTTTCAATAACAATGATATGTGATTTTATGATTGATTTAACTTAAGTGTTGGAAATACTTTTTGCAAAGTAGCATTTGTTCAATGTTGTTGTAAGTATTTGAATTATACTAATTTCTTTCTTTATCAGACTTTTCCACATTTTAATATGGTTTTATTGCATATTCTTTTCTTCTAGAGTTTGGAAATAAACACTTCTATAAGAACTAACTATATTTATCCTTACATTATACCCTACATCTTAAGATTGATTAATGCACGAGACACAATGACTCAATAAATACTTTTCAGAAATAATGGGGGAATTTTTCTTTCATAAAATATTGAAAATTTTTATTCTAAGATTACAATTCCTAAATCAATTTTTTATTTACACACTGGAGATATATTGGTGTAAAGTAAAAACTGCATAAATAGTGTTAAGATACATTAAATTTTCCTTTTTTTGTGCTTTTTGTCCCACTTTGAAACATTGTTGCTCCTTGCTTTTTTGTCTAAGTTTCCTATAGTCTTCTGATATATTGAAGACACAAACAAAAAATATACTATTCATGGTCATTGAATAGAATCATAGCGTTATGTTTTCAGTTTTATGTTATGTTATGTTAAAGCCTGTTTAAAATAAGGTCCTCAGAATTGCCCTAAAAATACTCACTTACCTCCTTACCACCTACCTAGTCTGAGGCAAGAGAAATTGGAAACTTGAAAATCTAGCAAAGTGCATTGAATCTAAATAACAATTGTTTTAAAGTGGGTGTCTCCACTGTGGCATTTATTTTTAAGGACATCATTGGGAAATTCCTTTTTCTTACATTTTACTAATCTCTTTTCTTTCTAGACTTTCTCAGAGTGAATTGTGTTGCAATAGCATGTTTAGATAAAAAGCTAGGTCTAAATTAAATGTATATTAAATAAGTTGTATATAGAAATTACTCATCATGTTTATGACTTCCGTTTCTTTTCTCTTGGAAACATGGGATCTGAGTGTAAACAAAATGCACTATGGCTTCCAGAGTCTTTGGGTTTTGTTTGTTTGTTTTGTTTTGTTTGTTGCTGTTCTTCTGTTATCTCAATCCACCTGCCTATCTGGCTGCTAGGAGTATTTCCAAGGATATGGAGTATCATATTACATCACAAAGTACCATATGATAAAACCCTATGGCTTGGTATATACCCCTAATGTAATCAATAAAAAATACTCATGCAGTATAAGCAAATAAGCACATAAACATCAGCTAGGCCCATCAGTAGAATAGCACAATGTGTTTGTATCTAAAAATCAGAGAGGGTATGCCCCCTTCTCCTCTCAGTATGTTTATTACTTGCTGGCCTCTTGGAACTGTTTGATGTACTCATCACCTAAAGAAGTGTCCATATGTTTCTGTCTATTATTAGAAGCTGGACCTGCTTGTACTTGATTCCCTTTACTTTGCAGATAGTCCACATCAAAACTGTGTAGAAGAGTTCAATGGGAATTTCCACCTACTTGCAGCTGGTGATGAGTTGTCACCACAGAAACAGCACTAAGCAACCACTCGATGCTCTCTATGAACAACATGAGGCAAATGTAATCTTAGACCATGGACCTGAGGATCTCTATTAGGTTTGTTTGTTTTGTTTTTGTTTGTTTTTTTCCTCTTTCCTCCATAGCATACTGCAGAGGATGTCTTCAGGCTTTATATGGTCAAAGATACTAATAGATTCATGTTGCAGGCTGATTGCATGGAAAGGAGCAGGGGATACTGGGATTACCTTATTACTTATTTAAGAACTTAACTTTTTTCAAGCACATTAATCATCCTCAGCAGTGTCTTCTTCCAAAAGGTTAGTAGCTTCCTGAATCTAACACACTTGGGCTCCAGCTCCTTTGAAAATGCCTTCAATTTATGGACAAATTGAATCATTATAGTTCTAGATTTCATTGCAATGACTGGATTGACACCACACTTGGTGTATTTTGGGTTTCCATTTACAGTAGGTGATATTACAGACCAGTACTTGCAGTCACTTGCCATCTCTAGGATCATGTTCTTGATGTTCTTTGTTTCAAAAGTCTGTTGGTCTGATTCTGGATACTGACTTGGGGGAGTGGTGGTTTGAATGATAAATTCCCACTATGGATTCAGGTAGCTGAACATTTTGGTGCCCAGATTGTGGTAGTTTTGGGGTAGGTAATGGAGCCATTAGTTGGAAAAATTGCTGGAGGAAGTACTTCACTGGGGATGGGCTTTATGGGTTTAAAGACTCAACTTCGAGTCATTTGCATGCCAAGTTGGCAAGAGGTCAGTTGTGCTGACTAGTTTTATGTCAACTTGATACAAATTAGACTCATTAGAGAAGGGGGCCTCAGTCAGATCAGACTGTAAACAAGCCTATAGGACATTTTCTAATTAGTGATTGATTAGGGCCAGCCCATTGTGGGTGGGGCCACTCAGGCTGGTGGTCCTGGGTTCTATAAGAAAACAGGCTGAGCAAGTCAAGAGAGTAAGTCAGTAAGCCACACTCCTCATGGCTTCTGTATCAACTCCAACTTCCAGGTGCCCTGTGAATTCCTGTCCTGATTTCCTCCAATAATGAACAGCAATTTGGAAATATTAACTAATAAACCCTTTTCTCTCCAAATTGATTTTGGTCATGGTGCTTTCCCACAGTAAAAGTAACCCTAATTCAGACATTTCCCTAATCACTTTTGGTTATAGGGTTTTTTCATAGTGACAAGAAAGTAATTAATTTATGGTAGGTAAATACTTTTCATTCCTACTTATATTCCTGGTCCCCACTGTTTTCCCTCAACAAGAACAAAGGCTCCTGCCATCAGGGTTGAAGGTTGGAAAAAATATGTAGGTCCTTGTGCTCACAGATAAGTACTAGGGGAACCAGGAACGTTAAACACATAGAGCTATCTTTTAAAAAGGAGAGATATATAGCTTGCTTTTTGTTCTGTTTTGTTTTGGCTTTGCCCAGAAGGCTGAAAACAGATGTATATAATAGCCTGGTGACATCTGCACTATCTGTATGGCCAGGCAACACTAGCTCCCCTAGACTTAACATTTATCTGAGTCAATCTATGGTGCTATCCTCCCAGAGACCCTTACCATGATCATTGTTTATCTTGAAACTGCTTCCTTAGTTAATATATGCAAGCTATCTTTATAGAAAATGTCACTTGTTTTTTTTTCAAGGATTTCAATGTCTTAAGTGTTGTTGCATACATGGGATTGGGTTAATGATTATGAGAAAATATTTTTCCAAATTGTGCTGTGTCTACACATGCCTAAAATAAACTCCCCAGTGACAGACTCTGGAAGTTTCAACCAACACTGCCTACTGAGTCACATTTAACCAGACTTTCTTTTCCACTCACACAGACATCCTGCCAGTGGTAGTGTTTATACTACTAGATTAGGCTTCATTTATGAATAATTAAAGGCTTTTGAGTAAGGACTTGGAGCAACCCCTACAATGAATTGGCTATTTGTATTCTGCCCATTGATATCAGCTTTGAGAAAATCTAGACAATTTTACAGATCAAGGAGAAAAGATCTGAACCTAACATTTTGTAATCAATCAAGAGTTCCCAGTCTCTTGTCTAATTTTCTTTCTGAAGAAAGTTTGATGGTGTCTGCCCAGTGGTCAAATAGTCCTCTGGCACCTCTTTGGGGAGAGTGAAAGTAATTTCTCATGTGGAGTCACCTGCCAAGTTCAGGTTTTTCTCCAGCTAAAGCTGCAGATGTGGCCACATGAAACACATTGGAGACCACAAAGAAATGTGCTGTGCAAGTATGACTAAAAAACTCAAGAAGTAGCAGCAGCGGCTTGGTGACTAGTTTCTTATCTATACTTTTAAAACTACACTTGACGAGTTTTTTTTTTAAGTATTTTATTTTGTTGACTGCATTTCCACAAGATTAGAACAAAATCCTACTTAATGCTATTAAACATTTGGCTTTATCTGGGTGTGGTAGCATACACCTTTAAATACGCATGCAGTTGGAAGTGAAGAGCCATAGATTACATTGAAAGAGATAGAAAATTTGTATGTGGTGCTGCAGGACTGTAATTACAGTACTTAGGAGGTTGAAGCGAGAAGATCTGGCTTTCCAGATTAGCCTGGTGTACATACCTAGACTTGTCTCAGGAATTCAGCCAAAAAAGAAAGAACAGAAGAAGAAAGAATGGAAGAAAGAAGGAAGGAAGGAAGGAAAGAAGGAAGGAAGGAGGGAGAGACAACACAAGAATAAAGACAATTGGAAACTTTATGGAAAAAGTGAGTATTAGTATAAAAGACTTGTTACATATCAATGAGAAAAAGATCTGTAAATTAATAGTGAAGTGATCAAATACATATAAAATTGAATAAAATAATGCTGAGGGATTATGAAAGGAGGGGTGGGAAGGTGGGAAGATTGTAAGAACTAGAACTCATGGACATTTCCAGCCAAACTTTATTTGCTGGACACAACAAACTATTTCAAACATGAATTCACAGTGGCTTGGACTGCATTATAAGATCTGTTCAGGACGAAACCAGCCAAAATACCAATATAGTTGGGGGAGGAGATCCTGAATTCCCTTCCACCCTTATCTAAGGAGTTTCTGGGAACTGATGGCTACTGGGGGATGGGGAGTGAGATTTTGCAAAGAATTTCCCCTCTAGCAGAGAACAAACAGCCATGCTCATACAGGAAGCACCCAGAGGAAAGAATAGGAATTTAGGGGGAAGGAATAGGGAACAGATTTGATCAAAACACAGTATATGCATATATGACACTCTCAATAAAAATATAAGGGGAAAGGAAGTGGTTAATAAACCTTAAACTATTCAAACAAACTAGGAGTCAGCATTTAACAGAAAAAAAAGCCATGTGTTTGCCAGAAACTTAAAATAGCATCTTCTCTCTTATTTACACATGCAGCTACAAATTTAACGTTGTTTAATTTTTATTTCCGTAGACTTTACTTTCTTGTACATATCAGTTAGCTAAATCTATTTTATCGCATCATTTTGTGTATACAATACTTACTTTAAAACCTAATCCAATAACTTGGATCATAACTAGGATCATAAAGATGAAAGGCAAAAAGAGTCTCAGTGTCATTGAAATCATAATGAGTATGATCTTCTGCCCTTGAGAGTCTACCTCTAAATAGAAACTTTTAAACACTACTACTTACAAAGGAGTCAATACAAAATACAGATATTTTATTTGTACTAGAACCCTAACCCTTAAAAATATCCACATTTACTAAAAGATTCTCATTTAAAATTAAACTACATTTAAACTAAAAACAGTTCCAGTGAGAAAATAATGGAAGTAAAAATATAATTCATGGCAATTGCTGTATATTCTATACCTGGGCAGAGCTTATATTCCTATATGACAATATCCTCTTCTGTTTGTGAACTATGACATTTTGTGAATATATAGTATTGTGGTAAATAAGGATCAGGATAAACAAATAGGCCGAATAGATGTTTATTCAGGGAGAAATAACTTACAACCTAGACAGATGAACACCAGGAAATTCAACCCGATCCTCTCCTGTCCGAGTCACGCCAGAAAGAGAGAGTGCCTTCCTGGCCCCCTCCTACCTCCTTCCTCAGGTCACCTCCGCCCATCGCTCCACCCCCCAATGGGCGTGGTCAGTGCTACAAAAGGACTACCTCACTACAATATAGTTTTATAAAGACCTAAAGATTGTCCACACATATGAACAAGACTTACATAAAAGAGAAAAATAATCTAACATAACACACAACTTTGCTTACCTGTTCAGTATTCTGTGTTATATGTAGAGTACTTGGTGCACAAGTAGATATTTTCAGAGTCGGAGAATGGAGCTCCTGTTGAGAAAACCAAAACATTGAGAAATTGTTTCTGAGTATTGTACTTTGAAAGTCTTCAGTTACCGGGATTCTTAGCCCATACAACTGAAAGGATAAGGTGTCCTTAATATGTTTATAATAATCTTATTAGTCACAAATAAGAGCATTGCATGTAAGCTTTCTTTGAGGATGTCTATCTTTCCATCAGAATTAGAGGGGTATAAAAGGTAGGAGCAGGGTCTTCAGTAGTCAGCATCAGGCATTCATTTTCCAGCTACATTGAGGATAGAAAGTCATTGAAGTCTCAGGAATCTCCAGCCACACTGAGGAGAGGTTACAGTCTGGGGTTTGTTGGAACAAAAATGGCCTTTCAGTCTGAGGTAGTTTAAGAGCTAGTGACCAGCTGTTTTACTTTACTAATCTTCAGCCAGAAGTTTGAAGCCAAATATCTGTCTCTGGATCTTTTATTTTTCATGCTACATCATATTTTATCTGTTCCGGTACCAGCTTAATTCTGGAGTCAGCAGTGTTGCTTCAAAATCATTCACAAAAATGTAAGAATGTGGCATTCATAATGATTAGACAAAATGATTACCCTTTTGACTATGCTATCATTGTTTATCTTTCTCCCAGAATTAGTTAATATGCATTGGCCCATTAGTGTGTACAGGTACTGGGGATCAAACCTGAGACCTCACCCATTACTCAAGTGCTTACCACTAAGCTACTTCCCCATTTTCAGATTGCACAGTCAGATAGTATTACTCAAGTTTCTCACACCTTCCTATAATTTACAATAGATTGACATGCCTCCAGGATATTTTCCCACAAACAGAAAAATGTTTTTCTAAGAAAGGGATAATTAAAATCAGAATCACAGGTATACAATGTAAACACTGACAGGTTTATTAGAAGACACACTACAATGTAAATATGTGTTTTTAAAACATTTGCTCAAACTGGATAATGGTCTAAACACTTTGCCACTTTTTTATTATTTTGTCTTCAACTTGTTCCATTTTCATCTCCCCTTTCCTTTATGTCAACTTCAATAATACAGATTCAGTGTTTTCAGGGCACCTCTGAATAGGTTCCTGAAGTTCCTGTTAGAAGCTAAAAATTGTTCAGGTAAAAACAGAGAGTTAAAGACTGTAAAGCAAACAGGGACATAGTCTTCACTTCAGAAAAATCATTCCAAATACAACCCTGTTCTAATGGATTTGACCAAAAGATCATGGAGAAAAGAATTGTGTGGGGTGGGGGTGGAGGGGTTGTTTACATGAACATAATTCTTCTTTCTTTTATTTTAAATAAAAGATTAGTGAGGTATTTTACTAGCATATTAGTTATATAAAACAAGTTGTTTCACATGAGAGTCACATGCACATAATGTTCTTAGATTATAATTATCCCCTTTATTGATCTTCCTAACAGTAATTTCCTGTTCCATAAGCAGTGAAAAACTGTTTGTGAATGAATCGATGAACAACATGTCATAATTTAAAGTTCACCCCAGGAATAAGAATTTTTTTAGTAGACTTTCTAAGTGTTTAATTTAGTATAAATCATAAACACACACACACACACACACACACACACTACTTAGAGCCTTTATATTGAAATCATTAAATTCAATGGGCAGTGATATTTTTGGTTCACATGCCTTTTGTACCACAGCCTTTCATTCCTGATAATTAAGTAAGGAAATGCACAGGTGAGGTGTTCTGGTCATCATGGTACAATAGAATGGTGCCTGGGCTTGGAGTTATGTTTCTTGAGTTTGAACCTCAATTTAGTACTGAACAGTATTTGATACTGGGTAACTCATGTCTCTTCCATGAGCTTCAGTTTTCTCATGTGGGAAATGACATAATCATGTATACAAATGTCATTTAGACAATCCTTATTATCTGTTCTGACATTCTATAAAAAGAGGGGGTAAGATCATTTTCAACGCATTTTTCCATATTGGTTCCATATTGACAAAACAATTTTAAATTCTTTTAAGCTTGCCAATCTTCTTTTCGTTTGATTATGATGATGTTACTACTGGTGATGATGATAACACATATTAAGAATTTACTATTTCAAAGAACTTATATAGTCTTTTCTAAGTCAACACTTAAAACAACCTCATAAGGAAGGTAACAGTTCCACACTATTATACTCACAAGTAATGTTAGTCAGAAACATCCTAATTTAATAGATGAAAATCATACAGGCAATATTAGGTACTAGAATTTCAACAAAAGTAGCAATGACTCAAAAAAAAACACATATTTAATCTATCTATATTTATTACCATATTTATAACTTGTTTGATTGTATTTTCAGTTTTATAAATTGAAGAATATACTTATAAGGTAAGTTGTAGTAAGATCTTATATTAGGAGTCTAAATATACTTCTATTTGCCTCTTTAAAATTAGTTCTTGTGAAAAGTGACATTTATATTTTTGGCTATTGGAGAACAAACTGAAGTCTTTGTGCATGCTAGAAAAAGTGTTCTACTGCTAACCTATACCCTGGCTATGTTTCCCAGTGGCACTGTTTCCATGTGTACCTCATTCTGGCCTCATGAATGAACTTACAATAACCTTGAATTATAGGTGTGCATCATCACACCCAGTTCAAAAGCAACTTTTGTATTCTTGAAAATATTACACCTATCTAAAACTGATTGCATGAGGAGACAGCCCTGATTAAATAATTTAAGGTGTTATAAATTCAATAAAGGGTATCTCTAGACTGCATGATATATTTGCAAAGTGTGGCCTCAAGGCTCTAAATTAAATAAGACACTAAAGTTCTATTTACCACTTATGCCATTTAATCCTTTTAATACTTCAAGACAGTTCCACTTTTTCTTATAAAATATACACTACATTATTGAGTCATCTATCTTTGTGGCTCAGAAGTGATAAACATCACCTTGTTGTCAATTTCCTTTACACTTATATCTGGTGAAATCAATGTTCATAATTACACAGGCTAGATATGGTATAAAATCCAGGTCTTTTTGTCCTGTACTGCATCAGGTAATGATTTTTAGCTTTGACAAAGTTGTACTGGTATTCCTCCTAATCTTCCTCATTTGCTTTTTATAAAGTAGTCATGGCAGTGGCAATTTCAAATATCAAAGTAGGTTGAAATCACTTGGCTTTTTGAGAGAATTTCACCACATCACTCAAGATAATTTCCTGCATCTTAGTACATATTATATTAAAGCTAGGAACTTTGGTTTCCAGTAGGGAATTGACTGTTCATAAAAATGTATCCATTTTCAACTGTTAATATAGTTATGGTTTTTTCAGATTTAAATCAGTTGAAGTGTAAATGACCCAAGTTACTCAGTTATGCTCTCCAATGACATTGCTTTTCAGTATCATAGTGCAATGAAAAAAGAGATAAAATCAGAAGCTGGAAAGCTGTTATTCTCCTCTCAACATAAAGAAAACCTACAAAGCGCTTGCTATATTCTGAATTCAAGGATTGTTTGAAGAATAGAATTAAAAACCAGAATGGATGCTTTTTTTGTTCTTTAATAAATTTCTATGCTATTCTAGGATAGTAAAAATAGCATTATCATCAAATGACTTATCATAATAAAAATATAAACATGTTCAAAGTGATATACTTTATTATCTGATTAAAATGAACTAAAGCATGATATAATGGAACTATCTAAAGTAAGTTTCTAAATTCAGTCATGCATAATTCATTAAAATATATGTTAACTTGGGCAAGTTATCATGGACTGTTGGAACATTGCATTTTCTAATTTGTAATTTTGTTTCAATTTTTTCTGGTCATGAATTGTTATGTAAGCCAAGAATAAATTTGAACTTCTGATTTCCTAATGCTGGGAAATTAGGAATGTTTGACCACATGCAGTTTATGTGAGTACTGAAGGTCACACACAGGGGTTCATATATGCTAGGCAAGCATCCAATCAACTGAACTATATCTCTAGCCCTCTTTATATGTATAATGGATATTGCTTATTATGTAACAGTGTAGCTCTATTCTTACTGAAGTTATAATCAGATAGCAGATAAAAATTTACAAAAAAAGTGAATTCCCATAAGGAGTTTACTATAGGAACTCCAATGTTAAGAGATAACATTAACCGTAGATAACCAAAGATTGGATCAAAAAGAAACATTAGAGGAGGGTATAATTGCTGTAATTTTGTCATGTACAGATTGGTAAGAGGTGTAAACATTGGGAGTGTATTTAGAGAATGGTGGTTTATATTAGGTCTGAAGCACAGAGAAGTAGAAGTGGGTTTCAATAAAATAAGGTCCATAGGAACCAGATCACAAGTAGACCTGAAAGTCAAACAAAGAAATTTATAGACTGAATGTCACTCAAAGTTTTATGGTGAGAGGAATGAGATGAGATGTCTATAGAGAATGTAAGGAAGCTTTCTAGTAAGGACATTTTAGGTGTAATTAAGTTTGGGGGGGAATTTAAAATAATTTTATGTTGGAGTCTCTACATCGGATCCAATCACCTGTGTATAGTTTTAATTGAGTTCTAACTCAAAAAAAAAGGCTAAGGGAAGAATCAATTATTTTTGCTCAACATTTTCAGACAGCTCACAAATGCTTGGTCACCTGTGGTTAACAGCAGGTGGCAGGATCCTGTGATGTAGATCAACTGATCACACAATGATAGATCAAGAAACAGAGAGAGTGATTTAGCAACTCACCAAGGACAATATACACTGAAAGACCCACCCAAAGTGACTTTATTCTTCTAGGTAGCTCACATTTCCCTTAAAGTTTCTAAACTCTCCAAAATTAGTGCTACCAACTCAGGAATGGATGTTTAAAACATGAGCTTGTGAGTGCCATTTTATAATCAAGCACACAACAGAAACATTGAAGCTAAATTTCGTGTAAGAAGATAAATGGGTAAATAAATGCTATGTTTTAGGCAAAAATCATTCCTTAGAAAGTTCCAACTATAGTTTTGTGTGTGGATGAGTACTGAAGAGTTATAATAGTCCTTACA